ATGCCAGGATAAATTTGTTAAGTCTTCAAGCTGCCACAAGACTCTTCACTGTTTTTAAAGAATACAGTCTCCTCCCAGTCCACCCCAACTCTGGGCATATGATACAAATTGGATCTGACTTGGGTCCAAAATCACATATTAATATAAACACAGTAATTGAAAATGGATTATGATTTGGGTGTGGACAGATTCAGGACACTGCAGTAGTTCCAGGACAGGTAGAACAGGTTCACTCTTTCTGTGGTTGGCACTAAAACATAACAGTATTGTTAGCACAAGGATCAGGGCTTTCATGCTGCAGAAAAATAAGCTGTTTTTTCATCAGTGCTGTGTCAAAGACAGACTCAAACCAGCATTAGGGTAGAGGATGGAATGATATGCCCACCAGAAATGCCTTGTGTAGAAAAGCCCACAACCTTGAGAGGAACATTATATTACTATCCCCCAATATAAATGTTCACAAGCAAAAACAAGGCCTTGCTTATTATGCCTCTATTTTCATAACTCGGAGATTTACTTCCCACTATTAGATACTGCCCAAGGCTCTCTACTGTTCACTGTGTTTTCACTTACTCTGCAGTAATTGGTTCTGCTCTGTTTGGAAAGCCAAGCAGCTGTTTGTTCTTTAAGCTAAAGGCACACCAGAAAACAGAACCCTTCTTCAATCAGTTATGAAAAATGTGTAGTGAGTGTGAATGTAGGCCACGTAGGCATTATGTGAAAGCTTCCTTTGGCCATGTGCACGTCTTTGCTTCCTCCTTTGCACTTTGAGCAAACAAATACGTAGGGGTAAACTACACTTCATGTTCAATGTGTAGCTTATCCTATTTAACTTTACTGAAATGTGCAAGGCCCTGATCCAGATTGGGACTGCAACTCACAGGTGAGGGGATGTGGTTAAACCTTCCCACCTAGATCCTTTGCTCCCTAAACAGGCATTTCCCCCCTTCATGCTGGTGTTCCTTTTTTTCCTTTCAGTTCCTTAACCTGATCAATTAATTTCCTTTTTTAGAAGGTTTTTTTCCCTCTGTTTATTGAGAGCTACAAAGAAAAATGTGCAAGCAGTACTTTTGCAACTGTTCACTGAGAAGGAGTCTAGGACTGCTTAGGATCAGTTCAAGCATCAGTCTTACCAAACAAACTGGGACTCGATCTATTTGTGTGTGTATATCCAACTGGTGAGAATGGACCCAAGAATACATCTAAAATCCCCCTCAGGGCCAAAAAGCATGTGATACTAACCACTCAGTTGCATAATTGCTTAAAAAACTGAAAATAGCAAGCTCGTGGACCAGTTTTCTTCCATATCACCATCTCAACAAAAACACCACACAGCTCTCCTAACTGCTATTGCTATGTGGCTTGTAAGGGAAGTTCCCAGAGGCATCAACAGATTTCCTTCCAAACCCAACAGTGGCAGGTGATGATCTCTTTCATGAGACCTGCATTTATTTAATAAGACTGCTCTCCTGCCTTTTTTCTTTTAAAGAACACAGAGCTGCTTACATCATTCTCTTCCTCCTGCCCTCAATCTTCTCCCCACAGCAACAACCCTGCGGGGTAGGTTGGGCTGCGAGTGTGTGACTGGCTCAGGTGACCCAGCTCACCTGTGTGTCAGTTCCATGCTCTTAACCACTGAACCACACTAGCTATATATTCATTTATTTCCTTGCATTGTGGTTCCAAATAGTTTTCTTATTCCTATATAGGGTTCCCCTGCTCTTCGCAATCACACAACTTCAAGAGATGCACACAGTGTCAAATATCATGTGGACCTCACAAGGCGCACATTTTACAGTATGATTGATAATGGCACACAAATTGTCTTTTAGGGAAACTTGTCCATGATTACTGACTGATCTTCTCATTGAGGGACCCCTACTCATCTTTCCAGAAGCTCCAATGTTCCTTTTTACCTAGTTAGGAAACCATTGTATGGCTTTGAATTTGTATTTACATTATTGCTTGGGATGAAATCCTTGACTTGCTCCCCTGTATATACGGCTGGTCAGCGATTCCCAAACTGGTGCTGTCCAGATGTGTTGGACTTCAGCTCCTAGGCTATGTTAGAAAACAGACGTGTGATTGTATCACTGGTCACCAGTCATGTTACAGGCACTGCACAGAACAAGGGGAGAGCCAGAAGAGCCAGAAGGGCCATAACCACGTCATATGAGATTTTTCTCCAACACAAAATGCTGTCAAGCAAAGCGTGAAAAATGTGGTACTCTTTCTTTCCCTGTTGGGTCATTCCAGAACAGCGTTCCCCAGTGTTCTGCCCTCAGGATTCACTGGGTTAACACAACATGACAACTCAGAGTAAGAATCCTTATTGATTCATGTGTTGTATGAACGGTTTGTTAACCATGAGCAACCTAGAATTCACAGCCCATCAACAAACCATGGGTTCTTTTTGTGGGTTGTTTGTAATTAACAAACCATTGCTTGTTAGAGCAGCTGGGTCCGTACATACCTCATGATTCCAGATAACTCATACTCAGGGTTGTCCTGATGTAAAGTGCTGTCCAAAGCATCTATAGGGCACATCACTGGGGGAGGCTATACTAGAATTACAGTTCACATGCAACAAATGTTACCTTTCATGAAATTCACTGTAAGCAATTATTGCAAAAAAGAACAATTTTCATTCCTCTTACTATATTTGGTTCTGAAATAAGAGGAATGCAGAGTTGCATCCTGAGGTTGGAATTCATTCCAAGGGCTGGCTGGACCACATTTTTAAAGGTGTGTACTTGAAACTGTAATGTATGCTGAAGACAAAGTTGTTTTTGGAAAAATATGTATATTATGCAAACATAGTTATCAGAAAAAGGGCAGAATTGGTTGCAGTAGCCAAGGGTATTGTATGCATAGTTACAAACCTGGATTTGCAGCTAGGTTAATTGTGAAAAGGCCTATTATGTAAAAGCACCAGGAAGGGAACTCATAGTCTATTTGAAACCTTGCAAAGTGGGTTACTACTTACAATGGATTCAAGGCATTCTCCCTGGCAAGGCAAGGAAAGCGCTCAACTTCACAGCACTAAACAGAATTTCACAGTAGGATAGAGAAGGTCGCACCCTCTGGTGCCTCTCTTAGCTTCTGCTGGAAAGAATGCATTGTTGGAATGGGTGTGGGGAAGACTAAATAAATCCTGTCCCCTTGCACATACTTCTAAAACAGTGTCTGTAGACAGCCCAAATAGCTAAAAATTAATCAAGTTGCAGGGGAGAGGCTGCCCATCCAGATCCTGACCAGCCTGGCAAAATGTGGAAGATTTAGAATGGTACCCTAAATTCACAGCCCTCTCTTGTGAGATGGCTCCATTCTGTGTCAGATTTGCCACATCAGAGGTACAGACCCTTCACCTCCTGCTGTTCCATGACTATCAAAAGCAAATTGTTTAGAAAACAAGGACACATGCAGTATCCCCAGGAAAGCACCCTGAGAACAAAACAAAACAAGAGAACACCCCAGGACTTTAAAGTGGCTGAATACTGACCTTTGGTGACAGAATAGAAATGTGGATTCTGTGAACTAACACAGCAGTGCTGCTTTCATATAAGAATTGTCTCCAGTTTTTAAAAAGAAAAAAACCCCAATAATCCCAACTTACTTTTGTTTGTTGAAGAACTACTAGGCAACAGTTGTGTTGCCAGTTTCTTCACTTAGTAGCCTGGATCCTGTGCTTTTAAACAGCTGCCCGGGTAAATCTGTTTGTGTTTGGAAATGCAGAGAAAAGCTTCTTTTGATATGTTTTTGTACAGAGCAGCCCTTGAAGCAGAGACATGGAGCAGCCTTACAGGGTTTCATTATCAAGGGAATAAGGAGAATTCCGAGGAACGCTCTCGAGCAAGGTTCATGGCAATGAACAGGAACCATAAAGATGCACCTGTGATTCTGTGCAGCTTTGTTTGCTTTCCATGAGCCAGGAGACGTGTTTGGTGACTTCAGGCTGATGCTTCTTTTATTTATTCAGGCAACAGTGCCAACTTTCCAAGGAATATGATAAAAATTGCGTATTGTGTCAAATGTTTCCTTCAATCAGCAGTACTGGAAAACAAGTGTGGACTCCCCCCCACCCCCCGCCCACATTCCTGCTCCTGTGGCTTTAACACAGTGCACAGAAATGGAGAAACTTAGCTTTTTTGGTTTTTTTCTATACCTGGAATACAGGTAAAGTGATGGAAGAAACCCCTTTGCCTGCTTACTTCCAGAATGCCAGGTTTCTGTAGGTTGCCGACTTTGTAAATGACCTCTGTACCTGTAACTTTAATTGCTGGCTGATATGCAGCAATAAACATGGGAAAGTTTTCAGAGTACAGAGAGAATTTTATCCCGGTTGACTGTTGCAGGTCAAACTGCTCAATAAAGGTAGAGCCACAAATCCTGGATAAAATGTTGGATGCCCCAGTTGTTCAAGGCATAGTGAAAAATGGGATTGCTCACCCAAACAAAGCAAAATGTATTACTTGTGCTACCCCTGCAAGTAGCTTAGAGGCATTACTGGAGTTCCAATGACTTGCCTCCGTGTGTTCCAAGGACGTGTGAGCATCCTGGGCTAGCCGTATATCCACTTGCTCAGTGACCGTGGCTTCATATGGGCACTGCATAGAGCTCCTTGATGCAGGTGGGGTGGGGAGCAGATGCTGGCCCAATTAGCTCACCTGCCCCCTTGTCCGGAGAAGTGCTCTGTGCATATGTTGATCTATGTTGCCCGGCCTTCCCATGTGTGCTGGGAGCTTGCAGAATGAGGAGAGCTGCAACTATTGGGGTGTGCTAGTGGTGGAGAGTGGAGGTGATCCAGAGAGTCCCATGCTCCCCACTCACACATTCCTGGAATGCATCTGAACCCCACTATTAGCAAGCAATAGTGCTCTCTCCAGGGGAGGCTGGTGACTTTGATGTTCGTGGGATTCCTTTCCCATTGCAAGTTACTTCATTTTGCTGGTCAGTTGGTGACCCCAAGAAAAAGGGAAGAAATAATCAGAAGACAAACATAATGTAAAGTAGCAATTTTACAGTGAACTCAGGGTGTGGAAGTCTAAAAAAACACAGAAAGATAATTCCAGGTTTGTTGTTATTTAAAAATAGCTAATTTAGTACATTCTTTAAGTTCCACCATGCTAGAAAATTAAGTTTTAGCAAACACAAATGCATGAGACAATGACAAATTGCTAAATAATTACAACCTGAAAAAATTTCATGTTTCAAGAGAGTCTACAAAGAATTTGTCTATGTATTTATATTCAAAAGACCTGCAGAAATGCTTGTAGATTAGAGACAGTTTTATATGAAGTACCGATTAATAGGAAGTTTATCAAAAACAAAATACATAAAAATATTCAACAGGAATTCACAACTTTTTTCATTATTAGTATCTCATAATATAAAACAAGGATATTGATGTCCAAAGGATTAGTGTCCCAAATTGGATTGGAATAATGAGTCAACTGTTGTCAGTTTCAGACCTTGTACTAAAATTATTTACTAGTTGCAGCTTTGGTTGCCTCAAGATTGACAAATGAGTCTTGAGCTCAAAAGGCGTGAGAAGCAGTGACATAAGCAAATAATATTGAGATGGGGGCACTTTCTTCTAGTCTTCTGCTGCATATATAAAACCAGTTTCCCTTGGATGATGTGATGCAGCTCTTGTTGGGGAACTGATGTAGAAGATATGGCTGCAATGCTGTCCATACAGTTTCTTCCGTGTGTAAGATCTGTGTAGCTTCCTTTTCAGTCTTTCAGGGAATTGTAAACTCTTGTCCGGTTATTGATGAAATCACTCTTCTTTAAATTATGCTTTCAAGGAAAGTAAAAGAGATTGAATTATAATGAAGAACGATGCTGGGCAGAGAGGGTCTGAACAAATAGTGATCGGCTATCAGCAGTGCTTTTTTTGTAAAAAAAAAAAAAAAAAAAGTGATGGAACTCACGTTGACCACACACACACACTCCGCGGAGCAGCGAGCAGCAGGGAGCAGCGTCCCAAGCCGAGAGCAGCCCTCACTATCTCACTATCAGATAGCAGACACAAAAGCAGCCTGCAGGCACTATGTTAATGATGTTTGCTGCTAATCTGCTAAGATTCAAATTCACTTCGTAAAATCCATGGGAAAAAAAAGGTGCTGGAACGCCGTTCCGGTGCGTTCCATGACAAAAAAAAGCCCTGGCTATCAGGCATATTAAAAGTGAAATCTATATCCAGCTGAAGCTACCTTGAAGGAGATGGTTGTTTCTTCATTCACACAAGCATGAACATGTACAGTATTCTATAGATTGTAAGATAATATTCTAGAAGTTCTGGATTGTGACAGTGCAGGGATCTAGAACCTGCCCCACTGCAACAGTTTTGTTGTTCTGCTGCTCCATAAAGCCATCTTAGATGCCCATATTAGACTATTATTTATGTATCTTTAGGGAAAGCAAATAAACAGTGCTACAATCAGATATACTCTGTCTCCCAAAGGGATGTAACCAGCTGTGATAAGAATCAATATTGTAACCAAGCAACTGGCAAAACAGGGAGAAATATCTATTAATCCCAAGTTGGTGTGCATTTAAAAATTTGCTCCTAGCTATTTTGCTAACTTACCTTTTTGTAGGCATTGTGGAGGTCAGTGTGATACCATAAAGAGCGCAGGAGGACTGAAGCAGCTTTACTAGCTTTGCTGAAGAGAGAAATAATAAACGATTATAATATGCAGTATTTATAAAGCTCCTCAAAATGTTAGCCACTGTATAATTACATAGTCGAAAAGAACAAACTGCCCACAGGCTTACAAACTAAAAGAACAAGGCAGAGAAAGAAAGCAAACATTTTCAAATGCTGTTTCAATCTTCTCTTCCCAAAGTGTGACAAAATCCTATCCTATGTACAATTTCCATTGTAGGATTTAGGCATAAGAACATGTATAACATAGTTGCGCTAGGACAATATCACCTGAACAGTAATAAACAATGGCTTCAGATTGGAGCAACTGCCATTTACAGCACAGGACTGTGTTTTGGGTGCCCTCACAAAATGGCGGCCATAGGAGGAGGGCTTGCCCAGTATGTAAGAGTGGGCCAGAAGTGAAATGGCTGTGATATTTATTTTTAAAAAATCTTGCCTGAGATAAAAAACACAACCATCTGCTTGAACTCATACAGGGATGATACTAGAAGCAGCACTTAGCTCTTCATGTTAAAAACAAAATGGTACTAAAACCAGCTAATGCAATAAAATAAAAATCAGAAAGGGAAAGTAGCCTGGAAGGGTATGAATACATGTATAGAAGCATCATGTTGGAGACTCTAGTGGTAAGGAAATATTACTCTCCTTACTCACCCAGTGGAAGGACAGTAATAATAGGCAAATCAAGGTTCAGAGTAAAACCCAGATGGGTTACAGAACTGCTTAGAATGGGACATGCAATGGGATATTGACCTGAAATGAGGTATTTCTCAACCATTGCATGGGAGTCATGGACTACTGCGCAGTGGTAAACTTGTGCCTTCTAGGAGCATACCTGAAAGTGACTTACCTGTCACTCATGCTGAGGTTTATAATCTTAGAGATGCCATTTGAGTTCAAGAGAAGCTGAGCATTCTGGGAGCTGTTTTGAGTCAGGTTCAATAAAGCATAGCAAGCAGATGCTGTTGTCTCATTGGCATCATCAGATGTCGGGGCAGAATCCGGAAGCATGGAAAGCAGATCAGGCATGATTTCTCTGGCTGGAAGATGAATGAGACATGTCCTCATTCTAGTTCTTATGCATAATCTTCCCCACTTGTCTGTCTGGACTATATCTACTAAATACTATCCATCATGTATATAAATTGCTATTTAATGTGACAAGTGTTTTTCCTTGTTTAGCAAGTTTACTCCACAGATATCTTATGTGGTATGTTACTACTGTTTTCATTAGGATGGGTCCAGATTAGGGATGTACGAAGAATCCAAGAGGGAATGAAAATCCGTTGGCTTTTCATGATTTGCCCCCCTCCCTGCCTCCCTTCCAGTTAGTTAACCTTGCACTGGTGCTGACTCACAGTGATGAAAACTGAGCCGGCTCACAGACTTGCTGCTCTAAGACATGGTTTTCATTTATTTTCTAAAACTGCTAATGAAATAAGCACCCCTCTCAAAACAAAACAAAACAAAACAAAAAACCATGTCTCTCTAGCATGATTAGTGCAGAATAGGCTGAAGTGTTCAAATCACAATTTGCACAAATCATGCTTTGTGCAAACTGTACAGTCTGTAAAAGAGCCAAGTGGTTTTCAGGTATGTGTTTGTGCAAAATTTCATTAGCAGCTAAAAAAACATGCACAAATTGCAGTTCAGCCTTGGAGATGAAAGCCTGACCAAGTCTGTTTCTGATCATCCAGCTGAAAGGAGGAAGGAAAACCCTCATGCTCCAACAAGCTGGATGTTGCTGTTTTGGTACATCTGTAGTCCAGAGTTTCTCTTTCTCTAGTCAAAGGAAGAAATGAATCCTTGGATCCAACTCAGCGTCTTCAATTTGATTAACTAATTAATTAATATTCATTCCTATTTCACCATTCAGCTTAAACATATTTGCACTTAACACCTGTTTAAGAACAGCAATAAGAGGCTCCAATGATTAAAGGATGAATTGCTGATATTCAGCTTAAATTCCCCTAGTGGACCAGATTCTTCTCGTGACTTGACAGACATCTTTATTACACTTGCCTGCAAAGAAAAGTAATTACTTGTATTTGTAGCTCTCTGCTGTGTTTAAGTGCTACATGGAATGGAGGATTAGGATTGTGTTGGAACACTACGCCTGCCCCCCATTGCTTTCTCTGATTGCTATGTTGAATTTAATGTTTGCACAAAGGCCTAAACATGGAGCAGTGAAGCTCAGGCTGGACTGAGGCCAGGAGGCGGGGCAGTGGCAAACAGCTCACATCAACATCTAGGCCGACACGGGCACAAGATCACCACTGTATCCTTCTTCACTTTAAAGAACATTTTAGAGGTATAGACGGGCCAGATGGGATTGTACATGTTTGCAGGTGCTCAGTTTTATTTTGACTTTAAAATATGTTGTCCTCATCTACAAAGAATGAGGACATCTTTATTTATTAAGTGTGTTATGAGGACATAACATACTTATTGCATATAAAGTGTTTAGCATCAGAGAGGCAGAAACAAATTTCATGTTATTCCTGTAGCCATGATGGTGTTGCAATTTAAGCAGGTGCAAGGGGCAACACTGCAGATGCTCAAATACTTATTGAATTTAATAGGCCTGCAGTTTGTTTGTTTGTTTGTTTTCTCTAATATATCAAAAATACTGGAGCAGTTATAAGGCATGGAATAGGTGAGGTATGAGAGAAATGTCCATGAGGAATTTTTGAGATAAAATACTATGACTATTACAGTTGAAGGACACATATCTAACTCAAAATACTGCCATGTACTTAACACCAATTCTCTCATCCAGACTTCCATCCCATACTGGAAAAGTTTTGGCCAGCCACTGTATACATTTACCTATTTCGTTCTGCAGGGAGGCATTACGAGACACGTTCTTGAGCAAGCAGACGGCTGTTTTTCTAACACTTGAAGTGCTCACATGTAGCATGTTCCGAATACTCGGAAGGCCATTTGCCTTCTTGACTATCATCTGAGCTACCCCAAATGGCATCTGTCAGAAAACACATAAAGCTGTCAGCTGTGGTGAGATTTCCAGTATCTGCAACATTCTTTTCTATCAGATAGATGATGACGAAGTTAATGGATTGAAGGCTGGTTAAAGCTTGCATGTACCCCATGGCCTCTTCCCTAGGGTGGCTGTGACAGGATGACATGAGTCTCAGAAGCCTTATCCAATCACAATGCCCAGCATCCTGGGGCAGACATGTGGAACCATACTCGTTAGGTGAAGCCCCATAAACAAGAAGGGTACAGTGAAGTTGCAGAGGAAGAACAACAGAATGGAAAAGCCCAGGGGAACATCAACCTCCACCATCACAGCCTTCCCCAAGCTGGGGCTGTCCATTTGTATTGGGCTGCAACACAAATGCAGCCCAGCATACCTGGTAGACACAGGGAAGGTCTGTCTAGTGGTTAGGGATGAGCAGAATACATGAGTTGCACACTTGTAGTTCCACTGTTAATTTCTAGGTTAATTCTGGGTTGATTGACAATCCAGAAACACCCTATTCCTCCTTGTGTATCTGACATGCAATGCTGGGACTGCCTGGTTGTTTATGGGTTAAACAACCTAGAGTTAACCCAACAATTGTCCATGGATGTTTCCTGATGTGCAAATCTGCTACTCTGTGTTGATGGGATGAATAACCTGAGCTAGCTGAACAATTGCCCACTTGCTAGGATTTTTGATGGCATTGTAAGTTATGGGGAAGGTCTGAATGAAAAGCAAAACAGGAGGAGGATACCGTCCCTGCATACTTACTGGTCCAGTGCCAGCTGTGAGGTTCTGCAGAGCTCCCAGGGATGCTTCCTGAGTATAGTTCCTTGTGCTTTTTGCTATTAATGACAGGTATATCCTTATCAGGGTGGAATGCCAGAGTGTCTCCACCCCTCTGGGGACACTCCTTTCCTCAGGCATCAGCAGGTCTTGTTGATTCTAAACATGAAACAGATTAAAGAATCAGAAAGAGGAGTCCAGCCTTGTCTGGCCTGAATCAGTTGGAATGACTTTCTGCCAGTCATGCCAGTCATGCAGGATGCTCAGCAGACCAAAGTACCGCGGAGGAGGACAACTAGGGAAAGACAGAGCATCACCGTACGTAGCAATGACTTGTGCTGAGGAAAGGGTGGGTGTTCCTCCTCTTCATCCAGGGGTTCAGAACCTCTGGGGGCCTGACTGAACTTGGGAGGAGCTCTCGGAGTGGTGGGTGAATGGCATGGCCAAAGGCAACGAATATTTAAAAAGCCAGCCTATTTTAAGCTTAATGCTGTCTGATAATAACTAAGCATTTCAAGGGTGAAAAGGAGTGACTTGCTTTTGGCTATAGCCCTGTGCACTGCTGACTCACAGGCTGCAACAAGCTACCAGTGAGGGAATGCAGCTCTCGAAAGAAAAGTCTTGCCAACCTCTCCTTGACAGGTTGTGGATCTGTCTAAATAGTACGAAACAGTCTCTGCCCCTACCAGAGTGGACCGGATCTCAAAATAAGAGTGGCAGCTTGTAAATGATTATCGTGCATGGGTATGTTTTACAAAACGGTTTTTCTTTCTTCTTCTATTCCTCTCTGTTTCAGTTATCCCCTCCTTTTTGTTTCATTTTGCTCTTACACTGGTGGATGAAAATAATAAAAAGGAGTAACCATCTCCAGAGCAATGGTGGGTGAGACTGGGGAAGATTGATAAAGAAGATCATCCAGTAGTTCCATCCAGGGATGTGCATGGAGTCCGTTTTGTGTGGAAAATCCATTGATTCCCTGGTTTTGGCTTGCTGGACACTGGTCCTCCTTGCAGCAGCCCAGAGTCCGAGTCCCTGGAAAGCAGATCCGGTGCATCCATCCTGGTGAGGCACTTGCCAGGAACTGAGCCCACGCACTGTGTGAGCAGTGCCATTTTCTGTGCCCACCACTGCTGCTGGTAGCAGTGAGTGCGAAAGAAGGTCGCCCACTAGGAATGGCAGCCACTGTGCCCGTTCACGGGGCCCCTTTTCTGTGTGTGCTGCCGCAGGAAGCAGTGAGTGGAGAAGAAGGTTGGCTGCTGGGAATGGTGGCTGATGCACTCGCTCGCAGCTCCCCTCTTTCATAAGCTGCACCCGCTCGACAGGGAAGGTTATCGGTTGTGCAATCAAGGGTCCACAAGCATCTGAGGACTTCCTCTTGGCTCAGTTTGCTTTGCAGGACTGGGCCAAGCATGAGAGGAATTCTGGAGGGATGGATTCCAAAAGAGTTGGTCCCAACCCTAGTTCAACCTCCCAGCTGAAACACAGGACTGTCAGCCCGCCAGCACCTTTTGCTCTCTACTATTCAAGCTATGGAACAGCCATATCATCTGTGTGGGAGGACCTGTGGCAGAAGATCTCAATCTGGATGTTGTCTTGTATGGAGAAAGTGCTTCCAAAAAGCGCTGGCAGTGGCACTCTAGGAAAGTCTTTTCCAGACCTACATGAAGATGCTGAGGAATGAATCAGGGTCCTTCTGCATGCAACGCCTGTATTCTGCCACTGAGCTGTGACGTCTTTGTCAATCCACCATTACCTGTTTGGCTTTCCTGCTCCTTGTTCCAAAGCATCCAATGCTGTTCTCATGAGAAGGAACATCTCTCTTTTGTGTGTAGAGCTTCTGGACGTAACTGCTGGGGAGCTCTGACTCCAGTTGGTAGGAGAGATTATGAAGAATGCACACACAGTTCTCTGTGGCCTGAAAGAATGGACAAATATGCATTATTCCAGCAGTATAAATTATTGGAGGAGACAAGTAAAGACCTGTAATGCAGTTTAGTTTCAGGCATTTAGAAGCCTGGCCTTAGGTTTTAGGTCTCTTGGTAGATTATGAATGATTTTACTATTGTCTTGATTTTCTTTGGGATGAAAACTGCCCTCAAACATTCAGGTCAGCTCTGGATTTTGGATCACATAGGCATGCTTAAGTTTTTAAAACAGAGATTAACTCCTGGCAACTAATGAAAACTATGAACATTTTACTTCATTTCAATCTTTTCAAACCCATTAGTATTAGCCTTTAAAGCATGAATTTCTTGAAATGAAAGTATGAATGTTTTGAATGTTTACAGGGTAGACAATTCCATGCTAATCTTTTGTGTTTAAAACATTTTGAACAAAGTTGCTTTACTATATGTTAATCATTTGTCATATGTGGTTGACTTGTTTTTTAAAGTTACAGGTTCTTTAATGGAAATTTAAATGGAAATTTAGCTAAATTTCCATTTAACCAAATGGAAATTTAGCAAATGAAGTTACAGAGAAATTTATTTTGGAATACAGAAATGCACAAATAGCAAATTGATGAAAGAATGCAAAGAAGAATACACTGAAATCTAAAGAAAGTATCCTAAGCTACATTAGGCTGGCTGTTTCCCTGAAACAGGATAAATATTTGTTTAAGGTATTCAAAGAGGCTGATTTGTCTTTGTGATAATGAAAACAAAGGTGAATGCAAGGGGTGCTGGGTTGCCATATGGTTTTTTTCCCTCAACTAGAAAGCAGTTGTACAGAACAAAGAAAATGGTAATACTGCCTGATCTGCTGTTTCTCAGAACTCAGGGACTATTGGCATGCATTACAAGATGCTGCAATCAAAGCAAATAGAAACTTAGGTGAACTCTGGAAATATGCATATGTACTTTGGGTCCTTTTGGATTCTGGCTAGAGTAGATGTGTTTGGATATCATGCTAAATTGTGGTTAAGCAAGATATGAATGAACATAGCCTCTTTATAGGTTCACTGCCCCTCAAGTACTCTTTACCCTCTTGCATGGTTGGGAGGCAGAGTTTACAGACCTGCTTTGCTCCTGCTTTTCATCAATGGTGGTGTGCCGTTTCACTCAGATAAACAAAATGTGGTTAACATGAACTACAGACATTTTCAAACATGTAGACTTCCAACTACTGTTCTGAAAACTAGCTTGCTTAAACTAACCAAAGTTAAGTTTAAGCACAGTTCCAGAAAAGTGCCAGGTTTATATGACATGGCAGGCTGAGGTTAAACAAAAGTGGAAGTGGAGCTTCCGAGTTCCCCATTCTGGCTATGTGAAAGGGAGGGGATGGGGGGAGTGTTCAAGCTCTGGAGGAGGCAAGCTAAACCATGATTCAGTGTTGGATGCTAGTTTTGGAGGCCCACGTTCAAATTCCTGCTCAGCTATGAACCTCCTGGGTGGCATTAAGCAAGTCAACTGAATATATAAACACAGGAAGCTGCCTTGTACCAGCCCAGAACTTGGGTCCATCTGACTAAGTATCATGTAGTCTGCCTGCAGGTGATTACTCAGAAGCTTAAGTGAAGACTCCTTTCCAAACCCTTCTAACTAAGATCATTTAGGTGGAGATGCTTTATGCATGCACGAAGTCTGCCATAGCTATGAGCTATGGCAAACTCACAGAGTTATGATGGGGTGCTGAGACAGGAAGGAGAGAAATCCACCTTAGGGAGTAAGGAAGACATTTTAACACATTTCCCAATCCTAAACATAGAAAATGCATTTGTTTGCAAGAGTTACCTTGTCATCTGGTTGGTGATCTGCAGTGGTTCCTTGGATGTAATACACAAGCGATTCAATCAACCCATTGCATTCTCTCATCTGTTTCCTCCCTTCAGGGCCAGCAGAGCTCATGTTTCTATTAAAAAAGAATTAAAATCAGTTACTAGGATCTTATATCTCAGGTCCACTTTGTGAGGGGCTTTTGCTTCTGATCCCGGTTCCTGGGAAGGTGGACTCTGACTTCAGGATGCTAGGCAAGCTAGACAGTGAGAGCACCTGCTGAGCAGTTTTCCTTGTGTGTGAAGATGCATCATTGCTAAGAATGCTGGGGCCATCTCCTGCCAAACCCTGGCCAGGTCTGACCCAGCATGGCTCTTCTTAGAAGCAGTTCTCCTGCAGCAGGAAATCTTGTGCCCTGGAAGGAACTTATTTTTCAGGAAGGAAAATGTAATGCTTTGCTTGCACTGATGTATGCGCTCGACGGGCAGCCTGAACCTAGGAAGAATTAATATGCCTAAGTTCACTGCAGGGAGGTGCTTAGACCACCTTGGCTAGAGGTGGGTTCTTAAGTGTCCTACAGAACGGGCTGTAATGCAGGCAGACGCTGTGCAGAGAGCATGCATCTCCTGAGCCAAGCCCCCAGGTCACAAAGTTCTGTTGGCCAAAACAGGGCAGTGGCCACAGAACTGCCGCCGCCACCCATTCTTGGCTACCCTGCCTAACGGTAATTGACCCAATGGGAAGGTCAGCCCTGCCATGAGAAACTTTATTCCAGGTGGCTCACAATTCAACAACAACAAACAAGCATAGAGCAGCCAAAAGTTCTTCTCTGAGGAAGCTACTCTACAATTGGGGCGGCACCATTCAGATGGCCTCATATCCCCTTCGTACACTTCAGATATGAAGGAGATAGTGAGGAAAAGCCCTGATGCAGATGGCAGGTTCATACAGAAGTGGCTCCAGATGTCTAGGCTTTAAGCTAACCTGTGAAGATGGGGAAGGATCAGAATATTATGTCCTGATCTCCTAGCCTTGGCTAAAACCCTGGCTACATATATTCTGCATCAGTTCAGGGCAGAATATCTTATATTAAATGAATCTCTTACAGGGTGATTGCTTTACTGAATACTGAGCCATCCACCTTTTGAAAATGGGCCTGCAGCACATGGGGAAGGGAGGTCTGAACCTCTCCTGCTGCATCACAATCCCATTTATAAAGTGACCACATATTTTTACAGTCCTGTATTTGAAGGGCTACCAGAAGACTGGCCTCTGCTTGAGGGGCTACATAGTCCTGTCCAGCTCTTCAGATAAACATAAAGAGCAGCGAGAAGGAAGAACTGGGCCTTGCCATTCACCTGCACAGCAGACTGAGCAAGGCTCCCGGGTCAACAGCACTGTCTCTTCCACTGCATTCCTATTTAAATTATGAAGATTATTTATGCATTTGCATACTTAACTTAGCACATGTAACTGTTAAGCAGATATTCTTTTTTCTGATGATGCATGTACTCTTTTTTGATAATTCACAAGAGACCACTGTAGAGTCCAATAAAAAAACGATTCCTGTACTGCAAATAGTGAAAAGTCAAGGGAGATTCCAATGGGAGGTTCCCCCCTATCATTATTTGAAGAGCAGGGGGCGTTTTCTGTTGTGGTCATGGTGGCAAGAGCCTTCCCTCCCTGCATGCTGCTTCCCCAGTAAAAACCGCTTCCTCAAAATAAGTATCAATTTCCTTTTATTGATAGCAAGCCTTGCATTTAACTAGTATGCTATTAGGCTCTTAGGTTTCTGAACTGTCTTCATGAGCAACCCATGTCCTTCATCCCTACCACAGAAGGAGACTTTTTGCCTTGTTCTCTGACAACCTCCCAGATCATTACTTTCATTTTTAAAAACCTGCCTATGCTCCGTTTCACTAACTATGACTACACTTGAAAGAACATGTTCTCCTTTTGTCCCTTTGCAAGCCCTGTTGACAGTGGCTTGTTTGCAACAGATTTGCTTATGAGTATAGAAATAGTTTTGTGGATACATGAGAGCTAAATAAAACAAAACAGATAAGGACTGAATTTTCAGCACTAGCACTTGAACCGGGCACATTTCAAAATGGAGTTCATTGCTGCAGTTACCACAAACAGATGTTACTAGATTTTGTACAAACAATGCTGAATTGTTGCTTGGCCATCATGCCTGCCCCGGACTATTGTGTCTTCCTGACCCAGAAACAAGTGAGGGGAACATATTGTGCTTCTCCACTGCAATTCCACTTCCAATGCGTTCAGGAGAATATTAATCTACCAGCTGCTTTTTGAAAACACCCCTTGAGGGCATGTACTGGCTATATGTGGAGCTTTTCTGTTCCTCAGTGCATTCAGTACCACGTCTAGGACATGGTGCTTCTTAAAGTGGAACAGTATGTTACAGGTTCTCAAGTGCATATTTGCCAACAGCACTCTATTGTAGCAGGAGACCGTGACATTAGAACACAGGAGCCAGTAATGGAGGTTGGAGAGTGGAAAAGGAAGGTGAAGAAAAAGGGGGAAGAGCAAGAGAATACAGACAGGAGATGCTATGGACTTGATCTGTCTGAGTCAGAACTGTTGCTATCACAGAGGAAACCTGGGCTCTGCTTCTTCTGAACACGGAAATGGAGTCACAGGACAATTATTTTAATGAGGTGGCAGCGGCCATGCATGAAGACAAATGCAAAATTCTACGAATGCTTGTAGCTGTCTGATGGTGATCCTGCTGTTCCTCAAAATAATTCATTTCTGTCTCTGCTGCAAGTTGTGGGGGAAAAACAACAGCCCCGAGTTATCCAAATGTCTCAGTTGAAAGGGAAATGCCCAGCGATGAACAGCACCTGTTGGCTAACATCTGTGATATCACTAACGCACCACACTCCCGCACTTTCCAAAATAAAGGATGAATGTTTAAACGAATACACACACACTCGCACTTTAAAGGCAAACAGGTCACTTGGTGCTGAAGGGATGAGCAAGACTGACAGCTGTGCTGCCAGTTCAATTTACTGGCACGCATTTCCACCATGCAAGTTTCAAAGCTGGGATTGAAGAACCTGTCAGTAGTGCTCAAAAAATGTTGCATCTGTTACCCAGTTCAGCAGCTGGAAAATGGGATGCAGCTCCCAGCCCCTCTGTTCCCAGTACCAGAACAGACCCATTGGAGTCTGGCATCTGCACAGGAGGGCGAGTGAGCAAGGCACACTTGTTTGACAGCTGTGCAAGAATATCTCTAGCAGGAAAGCACTGGCGAAAAGCCCAACAAGACCCCCAAATTCCTGTGAATGGATATTTCATGCTAAAGAAAAGAGTAGATTCCTTGGTGCTCATAGAAGAACAAAGAATCTTGTGTTGGGAAATCAGGTCACTGATGCAGTAATAATCACAACTTTTAGAAAAGGAAAATGTCAGTCAAGTACTTGGTGTAGAATTACTCAGGGAGTGAGAAGTTGTTGCTCATCAAATTACTTTCAAGAAGGGAAGCAAGCTGAAGAGCAGGACACTACACCTTCAGGAAGTTCACATTAGCAGTCCAGCATCAGCTTACTATTGGCAGCACTACTTGAAGAAACCCAAGGGAAAGCAAATGTAGTTTGATGCTTAATGCACTGGATTAGGTAGAAGGGGACACAGGCTTAAATGTTCTTTCTTGGGTCAGTCATTATATCTCTCAGCCTAATCTGTGCAAGGGAAGGGACTGTGGCTCAAAGGTAGCACAAGTGCTTAGGTAGAAATGTGGGAAACTGCCTCACACTGATGCAGTATAAGATGGAGTCTGTCCTACCCAGTATTGTTGACACTGAGTGAATTGTTCCAGTCCTACATGGTGATGACAGGCAATGGTCTTGGACCTCTGCGTGCAAAATATGTGCCGTACCACTGTGAACGCCCCTACGCCTAGAAGGCCCCGGCTTCAATCTCTGGCATTTCTACTTAAAAGGTTCAGGTACAAGACCTTTCCCGGATACCTGACGCCAGTCCAAGTGCATATTACTGCATCTGATGAACAAATCCGAGGCAGCATATATATATATATCACCGAAGATCCAACATCCTGGAGTAGAGTCTTTAGGGCAGCTTTTTCTAACATAGTCCCTGATCACAACTCCAGTGCTGCTGACTACTGGCCATGCTGGCTGGGACTGATGGGGGTTGATGTTCATAACAGCTGCTGGGTTGGGGAAGTATACGGTAAATACTTTTCTCCTGGACAAAAATGGCTGAGTACAATATCCTTTGAAAAGGCATCAGCAGCGGTTGTCCTGCGTGTAGTATAAGGGATTTTAAAATATTGTCTTTATGGTCAAGGTGGACAATAAAGAGGAGGCCTAAATAAAAAGCTGCTCTTTTATGGACATTAATAAGCAAGACACTTCACTTCTTTAAAACTTTGAAGGAGTAATCAGAGAATTAATCACCCGTTCCTAACACTATATTTAAAGCAATTAGGAGTAAACCAGAATCTTTACTCTATACTTTTATTCAGTTTTTCATCTGCTTTCAAATGTTCTAATCTACCTTTTGATCAAGATAGTTTACAAACATCTATAAAATACTTCTGCAACTTTGCATATGTAAATCAATAGGGTAGGTTTTTATATTTCCAACTTCAAATGGGAAACACAGATGCCTATTCCAAAATGTTTAAACTCCTCCAATAACAATGAGAGAGCTGAGATTGAGCAATGAAACTGTCCAAGTTAACTTTTTCCTGCAGTGCCTCTGGATGGCATCATGTGGGTGTTATTCCAGTGTTATTCCCACTGGGGAATTTTACAGGACTGAAGGACACTGATGGGTCACTCCTTGCATTTCTGCACCAGAATGAAGTGGGAGCAAAGCACCGCAGATTTAAAAATAAACTCTGCCACCTTTTCTTAAGGGCAGGTGCCCTCTTGCACTGAAAATGTCTAAACTTTCAAACCTTCTCCCTTGGATATCTCTGAAACTGTTCCCCAACTTTTGTGCTTGGCACAATAATTTATATCAACACAGGTGAGAAACAAAATCTTAACATAAGATAAAAACAACTGTAGGAGTGTGTGGAAGGGGAACGCCTGCTCATTTCATTTAAACAGGCCTTATCCCTGAGTCAAAGATTATTCATGTTCCTTGAATGTCAGAGAAATACACATTTATGAAACTACCCTTCTTTCTTCTCTTGGATAAATTTAATTCCACTGTCAGTGTTATGACATAATTTTGTACCTAGAGGCCTGTTCCAGCAACTGATAGCTCTAGGACCCCCGAAACAAAACTTGGTTTATAGCTGATGGGGATGAACACCTGGCAATGTGCCTTAAGATAAATCCAGAGGAGCATGCTATTGCCTAACAACTAGACAAAATCGGTATTACTACTGCATGAGCACTTCAAAAGCTTATGTAAAATATGCCTACCATAATCCGCTGTATTTACATCTCTTTCATATGAAGCTGCCTTATACCCATGCACTCTGCTTTGACAAGCAGTAACTCTCAAGACCTTAATATGACAGACCTCTCAAGCAGCGCCTTTTCTGCCCTGATAATCTTTTAACTGGAGGCACCAGAAGCTAAGCTTCGTACTTCCGCCATGCAAATCCTGCACTTTGCCATTAAACGATGACTCTGTGAACAGAGGTCGTAAACAGGTCTAGTTTACCATGAAGCAAATTGAAGCAGTCATGAATGCCAGACAATTACAAGAAAGCACTGCTTTTCTTGCCTGCAGCCCCCCTCCCCCCTCGGTCAAGAAAGAGGGCCAGTGCAGTAGCACCAGGGCTTGGCTTCAAGAGTGAGAATGGCTGGAGGACCAGTTAACAAGCGCTCCTTGAAGTTGCTCCTCCTCTTCACAATTGCAACCTGGTTGTTCATATGTTTCCCACTCCAGCTCAGACTCTTTGCCTGCCAAGCAGGCAAGTGGTAGTGAGGAGGCAGGCTAACTGAGGGAGGGATCCGTATGATGCCCAAAGGCCCTTCAAAACCTGGAAGCAGCTCTGGAGAACTCATCTGGAGCTTTACTTCATGCCTCTGAGCTAATGTCAGGAAAGTATTTCACCTTTTGCTATCCATGGCCCATGCTGTCCATTGAGGCCTGCTATGTATTGTGGACTCCTGAGAGTCCCTTCGACTGCAAAGAGACTGAACCAGTCAATCTTAAAGGAAATCAACCCTGACTGCTCTTTAGAAGGCCAGATCCTGAAGATGAAACTCAAATACTTTGGCCACCTAATGAGAAGGAAGAACTCACTGGAGAAGATCCTGATGCTGGGAATGATTGATGTCAAAAGGAGAAGGGGACGGCAGAGGATGAGGTGGCTGGATGGAGTCACTGGGGCAGTGGGGTGTGCTTGGGTGGACTCTGGGGGATGGTGGAGGACAGGGGAGCCTGGAGGAATGTTGTCCATGGGGTCACGATGGATTGGGCATGACTTTGTGACTAAACAGAACAAAACAAAGTATTCTCCCCAGAGGGGCAGGCATGCTTTCCCCTTCAAATGCCACTGGGGATGAGGTGATATCATGATGCAGCATTGTTCCCACTGGGACATTTTATAGGACTGAGGAATGCTGATGGGCTACATGTTAAAGTCACTGCTGCTGAAGTGGTGTCAAATTTTGTGGGGGGAAAGGGAAGAGAAAACAGGACTTTTACAGTCTCCGCTGTCCCCATCTTTATGGTAAATTCCCCTCACTAGAGGAATAACTGGGATTTTGTCTGTGTCTGAGAAGGAGGCTATGTCTGCTTAACACTTTTGCCCACTCCAGTGCTGAAGCACAGCAGGGCAGATAATTTATCTCTAGACTTCCACAAGTATTATAACAGAGGAGATGTGTTATGCATAGTATACCAGGCAGAAAAGAGACAACTTTTATCTGTAGTACAAGCTGCAGGCTACAGACATCTGAGCAAGAAGGGTGTTGGCGATTAGAAGAGGAGGAACTAATTAGGGATTTGTTTCTGGCAGATGCTCAAGCAGTTAAGCAAATCATTTGTCGGCATGCTTTCCAATGCGTGTTGTCAGCTGCCTCTCTAGATCTTCCTCTCTTTTACTTGTATACTATTAAATCAGAGCTAGCAGGGTTGCAGAAGCTCCAGCCCAGGCTTCCCCAGTGTTTCCTCCAGAGTCCCCAGCGTTCTTTGCTGCTGCTCTCCCTGGCCCCACCCCGAGATCATTTCTAGCCTTTGTGTAATTATCCCCAGACCCCCATAAGGCTTCAAGGAAGTTAAAACACACTGGCATTTTTGGTCCCACCTATTTTTTGCCTTCAGCCACCAAAAGCTTCTCAGAAATGAAATTCAGTCCTTGAGCTGAAAGGAGCTTAAACACCTCTGCTCTACACAAGTCAGCAAAACTCAGGGGTGGTGCAGCTGCCACAAAGCTAGCATGCGGATAAAGGCTGCTGGCGTGTCATCTCGCCTTGTCAGAGGTCACTTATATTGCTCCTATGCTGGATCTAATGTGCCCTTCTGTGAATGGAAGGGGTCCTTCGGTGAATACAGGTGTCTTTGATTCACTGGCAGCTCCCATAAATGGAAGCAGGTGGATGAGAATGCGATTTGCGCCATTCTCCTCTCCCGCCTGTGCTGTTCCCCAACCCTCTGGCCTAGATAGCCAGGGAGAAAATGCAAAGGAATCCTGCCTTCCTCCAGCAACCCTGCATCATCTCCAAGCTGAAACCTCTGCTAGATTCAGGCCCCCTCTGCAAATGGAAGGCAATTATTGGATCCGTCCAATTATATTCTTCGTTACTGCAGTATGCTATAGTTTATTGTGCTCTTGTAGGAGTACCTGTGCAGGCAGCTGTCAGTTCTTGCTTAGCTAGGATATGTTCTTGCTATGAATTACATTTATGAAATGAATTGCTCCAAACTGTTCTAGTTGGATGATGTATTCTCTCTAATTAATAAGGAATTTACTAGAAGTGCTGATGCTGCATTTGCTATGAATTGCTGTTTGTTGTTAACGGCAAGTGACATAATTTTATTGTGAAAACACAGTATACAACTATATGAAGGGCATAATCCTATGCATATTTAGAGGGCAAAAATTCTTACAATTCCCAGCAATGCTGGGAGTTTTGTGACAGTTTTTTTGCATAGGATCATGCCCTAATTGATTTCATTATTAATCAATACCTACATAGCTTAGACATGTGGTTTTCAATATGGTGCTTAATTGTTGACATGGGCATAGCATAAATGCACCATGAACAAAGCAAAGAATAATAACTGAAACTGAAATAAATAAATCTTAAATGTATATTTGAAATGAAGAGTTATAATGAATCAATGCAGCAAACCATCACCTATATCAAAAATATTTGTCAGCTTCATTTGATAAACTAGAGCTTAGATCCTACATATTTAAAAGCTTACTGCTCCTTTAAGGTGCACCGCAAGATCCACTGAACCATCTTTCCTTATGTTACCAGCTCATGTTACCAGCAAAACCTCATGAGAAGTCAAGAAAGGCTTTGCAGTCGTGGCTCTCAGGTTGCAGAACATCTCCTTGGAAGGATTTTCCAGCCTGTCTGTGGCTATAACTAAGCAACCATGCTTTGAGCATCCAAGGAAAAAGTAAAAGGAAGTTCCTTGTTCTTGTGAAGCTTAAGGACGAAGGTTATTGTTTAATGCCTTAGGATACAATATTTAGGACTTCGGTTTGATAAGACTGTAATTCTTCCATCATCTGAAACAGAGCTTCTCCCTGTTTCATTTGAATTCATCAAAGCCACATGCCAATATTCTCTTTTTGAACTGGTTAATTATTTTTTACAGAATGACAGTGATGGCTTTGTAGCACTCTTGAAACTACAGAAGCTTTAACAGAATGCCTTCCTTGCCTTTTCACCCCCAAGTCAGATAGTCCCAGATGTTCCCTTACCTTACAGGAGAATTGCTCCAGTCACTTGATTGGTTGTGCTTTTCTAAACCTTTGTTACACACTACCCAAAGCTTGTCTGTGCAAAAATGGCTTAAGCAGAGATCTACTGCTAAAGCTCTCTATTGTTAAGCTCAACCTGTACGCATGGACAACTGCAGGAATGGGACAAAGTGATGGAAGGAGCGGGATGGAGGGGCTTCCCTCCCATTCTGCTTTTTTGTGAAGAAAATATTCCTTACAATTGAAACTGCTTGAGATGCAACCTTTTTAAGCTTCTCCAGCTTTCTGGAAGACATCGCCTACTGCCAAATCTACAGTTCCCTTTCCCTAGGAATATAAACAGCAACCTTGCATTTTACTAGCACGGGAATAAGAAAAGTATCACCTTTCTTTTCACCTCCTGTGCTACTCAGGGCACAGGAGGGCAACAGTGAAGACAGTGGCAACTGTATTTGACACTGTATAAACTTAATGTGCACAAATTGTTTTGTGACAGGTTTTCAATGCAAAGAGACCAATGCCCTTTGTGACTCTGACCTTTGTATCCCCAGGACATTGCTAACAACACAGTCTGCAAGGCCTAAACTGTTGACTGGCACTCAGCCTGGAAGAACAGCAGTGGCTTGAACAGCAGCAGTTCAAAAGCAAGTTGTCGTTGTTATTACAATTCTGTATCACCCACTGCCTGGGCGGTTCACAACATTTAAGCCACCCATCCAAATTTCACCCAGGCCCGCCCCTGTTTAGCTTCCAAGATTATGCAGGATCAGGCACTTCAGGCTATATGGAAGCTATATGGAAGTCGGCCGCATCATCAGAACACAACTCACCTCAGGCAGCCTGTGGCATTGTAGAAGATATCAGGGTCAGGAACAATGCCTGATTTGGGATAATCTCTGTCAGGCCAGCCCGAGTAAGGAATGAGAACAGTGTTTGTCAGTGGCTGCAAGGCCTCTCGGATCAACACATTCTTTAGCTGGTCGTTGGAGGACAGGTTCCATAACAAACCTGAAAAGGTACAGAAAACAGCACAATAGCACACACAGGGCTTGTCAGTGAAAGGACTGAGAACATACAGAGCGTCCTTCTGCATCTAGTCAAGCATTCCCTTCACCAAGCATGCCTCACGTGTTGACTCTAACAGCGGGAGCTCCAGTGCAACACATCTGGAGCGGGGCAGAAGACTGTTAAAGTGAAAGTAAACTTCTTTTTCTAGTTTAGTGATAAGACCGAGTTTGGTTTCCATTTTATGAAGAGATTATTTGATAATCTGGTAAGGGATCTACTCAGTTCCACTGTTCAGTATAATAATAATGTAACAAGTCCATTGCTTTATTTGTGCTGAAAATAGTTTATTTGGGGAAGGAAACCTGAACTTAAGTTTGGAAATCTGGGCATTGTAAGAGTCCAACCACAATAGCTTAACAACACCTTTTTTTAAGGGTTCGTAAGTATCATCTGGCAATGCATCATGCACAGTGGCTTTGCTCTATATAGAGAACTATTGTTTCTTTAACTAACTGCTTTGAATTCCAAAGCACGTCTTTTGGACCTTAGTTCAATACAGATGGCATTTAAATCTCAGCACAAAACATCTTCTCACCCTTGGCTCACAGATAATCATTCTTTTGTAATATCCAGATACAGTAGTTGCATTGTAATGCTAGCAGAGAAGGGAAAGAGCAGTATTTATGACTTTGGCAGTATTGCAACACCTGTGTGTTATGTTGGCAGGAACTAAGAAAAATCTGAAACTATGGAGCAGAGGGGGCCAAGGCAATGCAGCAGGACAGAATATTGGGGGTTGAAAAACTGAGATTCCATTCCCTGGATCTGACTATGGACCAGTCACTGTGTGTTAATTAAAATTTAAACTGATCAGAGTTGCTAACAGTTAGCAGGCTGCCATTCTACTCATCGTTTTCCATGCAAAACATCTGCCAAGTCCAACATATGTTTCAACAAGAGCCCTATGAGAGAAGTGAAGCATCTTAAAATACTTGGCATGTTCAAGACATACCATGAGGTAGGAGTCAAAAAAGTTATTGATGAAGCAAAATATCACACAGAAATATTTTGATACGACCTTTGAAATGTGCTTATGTGGTATGCCTAGTTAGAGAGCTTAAAAAGCTGTTCCATTTGCTTTGCATTTGAAAACATTTATGTTGGACTTCTCCAGCCATTATTGTATGTATAACCAAGCAAGCAAGCAAGCAAAAATAGCCAAAATTCTGCTGTAAAAAATAATGGCAGCATCTGAGACATGTGTAATGCCAAGTGTTAAGTGTAGTGTAGTGTAGTGTAAATAGTACCAATTATGAACCAAGACAACCTCAACTTAAATTCAGTGGTAAATTTTGTTTCCATAAATTTGCCAGGTTGCTTTAACAGAGTTGTCACATTTTTATTCTGCCTCTGTAGCAAGTATTGTTATTCAAGGGATGGAAATCATAAATGAACTCATCAGCTAATTGTTGCAAATGTAGCCACTGTTAAGAATATAACTATGGGGAACAGGCTTAGAAAAGGGCTGTCCTATTGAGAGAATGGGTATATAGTGCTTTAATCACTAAATGTAAATTGACAATTTTGAGGGATCATAGATGTAAAAAGGCAATTTTGTTAGCACTCCTACTACCATATGGATGAAAAGAAGCTCATGCTGAGAGATGCCTGCTGCACTAGGTCTTCGTACAGTTGCATTGTATGCACAGGGTTTTCAGAGTAATACACTGCTGTGCTTTTCTGTGGTGGAGACTTCACGCATGATAGGCGTGGTTCCCTTCCACATTTGTGTTCTTTCATGACAGAAGTCTGGCCAGGCAGCCAGCCTCTTCTATCCTTCCTGCAGAAGGAATGTTCTTTTATTTCTCAGATGTGTGTTGTATGAGACAAGATCAAGAGGTGAGACACTCCCTGAAGGCTTGGCTGGTTCACTTTCAAAAGCTCATTTTGGCTGCCTAAGCTTTGCTGCTCTTTGTTGCTACTGAGTTTATTCCATAATAAAGCAAGCTTCAGTTCCTGTCAGCCCTGGAATTGACTTTTCTATAGCTCTCCTCCAATTGCCTTTTAATCCCTATAAAGCATTTCCCAATTAAATGGGAAACAAAGCCAGGTCTTACAAAGCCCTATGGCTTTCATTATCTGCATGACCTTGAGAGAGGGATTTCAAGGTTGTAATCCCATGCACACTTGCATGGTGAGTAAAAGCCATTGAATTCAATAGGGCTTACTTCTGAGTAAACCCGCACAAGCATATGCTATGAGTCAGCCTTCCTCCTCCACGGGGTGGCTTCCAGGTCTTCTGGACTGAACCATGCTGGGTCAGAACAAGAGTCCATCTAGTCTAACCATCTGATGAGAGTTGCCAATCAGTCGCCCACAGGAAACCCATAAGCAGGATTCAAGTGAAACCATGTAAAATCAACACTCTCATTTGAACCTGGACGAATGACACACACGACTCCTCTGCCTGCTCCCTCCTTGGATGGACCATCTTGCACCTCCATCACAGCTACTGTGAGCTGTTTTCCAGGTGGAGCACATATTTTGCAAGCAGAAGGTCCCCGATTTAAGCTCTCCTGCATACATCACACATGCATTTGTTTCTGTGAATCATTCTAGTCAATAATTCTATTAAAATCATTGCTTTTCTTTAGTTTTCAGCATAACTGTTCATCTGACAAGCCCACCCTTCCTGGGTTTGGATGATATGACAAACTTCCTGCAGTTACGGTTATCAGGATCACGGAGTGGCACATGCAGGGTGGGAAAGTAAGCGATGCTGGTCTATTTTCCTTCCATGATACTGTGTACCTTGTCAATGCCAATAGGTGCAAAAGGTTTTTTGACTTCATTCTCCCAAGTTCAGTGGGTGAATCAGGAAGTTGAAGTTGGTAAACCATGTTTATTGTAAGAAGCTCTGGACTTTTATATGATGGTGGCCACCAGTTCAGATTACTTTAAAAGCGACTTAAACAGATCCATGGAAGATAAAATCTAGTTGGCATGATGACTATATGACACCTCTACTTTCTAAGGCAATTTGCTCGGAATACCAGTTGCTGGGGAGCAGGAAATTGATTTATTTTATTTATTTTCAAAATTATATGTCTCTTGGTGTCATTCCTAAGGAATCTAGTAGGAAATGAGGTGAAACTACAGACAAGGTTTCTCTACAGCCTTTGGTCTGTTCCAGGATGTAGGTTTTTAGATTTAATCTATGTTTTTAGATTTTATTATTCAGATAAAAATGCACAGTTTTCATTTTAAGTATTGTGATAAAAATGTGCACTTTTCCTAATGTTTTAGTACCGAGATAAAAATGTGTACTTCTCCCATTTGAAATGAAAAAAGTGGTCGCACACAAGAATGGGAGTGAGCTGAACAAAACTGTGATATGGAGTTCAAAGGGTCTCAGGGCCCTCAGGCATTCCTGGTTCTCCCATTCCTGCTATTTAGCCAACTGGGAAATAGCTAACTGGCGTATTTGCTGACATTTGCAGTATCTTCTGCAAGGTTTTCGTGCAAGATTTGCAAAACCCCCAAACTTCTAGAATGCAGAGTTTCTGATGAAGTACTAGTAAGAGACACCCTTCCATTAGCTTTAACCAAAGATGTTAACCTTACCATGGGAAATCTTTAATACCTTAAATGCTAGAAAGGAGCCTTTTGCAGGAGTTATATCAGGTCTTGCCAACCCCCAAACATTCCTAAACAGTGACACAGTCACCACACAATCTGCAGAGGTGTGACCAGAAGGTAACATGATCTCTGCAGCACTTTCCCCCACCAACCCAACTGCCCAATTTGCAGTGATTAAACAGCACAGTGGCTCTCCTCTTTCCAAAGAGTAGGAGAGTTTGGCTTGAGCTCTGGAGCCCGGCCTCTTCCTCTGTTTGTTATCACTGCATTGCAATGCCATTACGTTACAGAGTCATGGGATGCTCCTTCACTGTCTGTAATGGGTGAGTTCAGACCCTGTGACTATTGCTTAGGCAGCAATCTCACGTGCTCGATTTGGCTTCAGAAATTCACAGCTTCATGGAACACTGTGAGTTTTTGTGCAAGTCTGTACAGAGCGGGAGTGGGGATATTGGTGCTGTTGCTGAGAGCTGCATTCCTTGGGGGTAATCTGGCCAGCAGCACAGGCTGCTTCTGGTGGTAGCATGAAGCCAGTGGTAGGTTGGACCAGAGCCCAAAGTTGGTGGGGACCCCTTTCTCTCTTTTTTTTCTGATCCTGTCCCCCTCCTTTGTCCTATCTTGAAGGCAGCTGGGGCAACAGGCTGCTTTTGCCAGAGACCTGAGCTGCTTGCTCAGAAGGCTTTTGTAACCCAGGGTCACTGGCTGCACACCCTTAGTATAGATGAAGGCAAACTTGTACCATAGTCAGCTTTTAAAAACCCACAAATATAAAAGGTAACATGCTAATACTTGTACCTCCACACCAATTCTTATCTACATTTCTCCTTTAAATACCTACAGTCAGAGCTTCCCTTTTCCCTGACCTGGAGACTCCCCAAGTGCAAGGGGCCATTTTCCACAAGGAAACGTATGTGTGAATCCAGCATCCCCACCTAAGAAATAAGCACTGCTCTACAGGCAAAACCACTGCATTCTGCTAGTTGTATGAACTGGTCCCCATCTTGTGACAGGCCTGGTTTGATTAGTCCATGGATTGCTTGTCCTTCAGCCTCCATGTTTTAACCAACTCAGTGACCTACCCTTATGAAAATATGTAATCTTTGAATTTGATATTAATGAAAGATTGGAAGATAGTATTAATGAAACTCAAGGACTGAGTTATGGGACTGTCACATCTTCTGCAATCAGACGCCTTTCTCTGGAGCTCAAGGAGTACACAGAATCTCTCATTGCTCATAAAAATAATCTTCAGACAGAAATTCTACAAAGTTGAATGATAAAAATATGGAACAGAAACAATGTTTTTGACTATGTTTGCTTGAGTTGATGCAAACTGTTATGCAGACTTCTGATATCTGCACCCCCTGAATTATCCCACATGATACTCATGCTCTCTGCCAAACCTCCTTAACTCACTCCTTTCACTGGAGAATGTAGTTCTAGTCAACCCACACAATGTAAGAGATCTATTATTCTATGTAATTAGAACAGGTAGGAGCAGTTGTGACATGTATATTGGTGATTGCCACTGTCAAGCTCTGCAGCTCCCTTGCATGGTCCAACAGAGAAGGCAGCATGGTTCCCCTTGCAAGTAACTGCAGGACTGACATCAAATATGTAAGTACCTTCAAGATGAGAACCAATTGTGCAGACCAGATAGGAACTGCAGGAGGCTGTATAACAGGCTTCTCAGTCCTGCCTAGTCTTACTCTTCATAGTGGCTGTTTTGTGTTCCTGATCTGGCTACTACTTCCAGTCCTGCAATGTCTTTGCCTGTGTCCTAACATCTACCGGTTCCTGACTCTGTTGTGCTGTGCTGGTATCTGACCATTGCTTGTTACTGTCTTTGTCTTTGGCCCTACTTGCGAAATTCCCCATCTACCTCCATTGCCTCTAGTCCTGGTGTTCCAGTCAAGAACACCTGCCTCCTGTGTCCTGGAGCTGGCAGCCAGAGGAAAAAAAAAACCTAAATCTGACTTGAACCACACTAGAATTAAAGTCAGAGTTGCAAGTATCATGTGGCTGATCTGCTGTGGATATCATGGTAGGATGATGACATGAAGAAATGGCATGCCTGGCTGATGTCACAAAAAGCAGGGTTGCTTCTCTAACCTTGGGCTAGAGAGATGACAGGCGAGAGGGGATCTTGGAACTGGAATTCTGAATTATATAAGCAATGCTGTTCCCTGTGTAGCTTGAAGTTAAGCCTATTTTTGAAACTTATTCCAAATAAGTGGGGCACATTTACACCATGCTTGGTAGGCTTTAGCTAGGCTTCATGGGCTTTCAGTTCTCTCTCTGGTGGAAAATGTTGATCTGGATCTGGAACCTTCTGATGGAAAACCATTGGCAAAATGTGTTGCTTGCATTATAGAATGATGCTCTTCCAGATATATTTAGACCTTGGGTGTCCCTAATAAATGAGGACATCAGTTACAGAAGGTCTGTGCATGATGAAGGATGCACTTCAATGCAGTAGCATCTCCGTTACCTGTAATTTGTTTTTTGGTCTCCACATCTCTGGTTTGCTGCAATAGTCTCAGGAGAATAGGGATCCCTCTCAGCTCTGACACTTCCAGTTTGTTGTCATTGTCTTCATACACCAGGTTCCTCAAGGCACCACATGCTGCCCTTTGGACGTCCACATTCTGTGCGTTCAGAAGTTCTATAAGCTTGCGAATACCACCCAGGGAGTAAACCTGTCCAGAAAAAAGCAGAACAGAGCAGAGCAAAACAGGCAGGTGTTTATGCTAAGAAAGTCCATCTGAAAAGATAGCAAGCACCAAAGATAGCCAACATCAGAGAGCTCTCCTGAAGGCTCTAATGTTGGTAATCCATGGCTGAGGCAGAAGTTAAACCAAGGCAATTGCTTTTGATATGGAAATGTTTGATCTTGAAGGGTTATCAGCATGCAGGACAAACAGGGTGACTCCAGATAGGCAAACTGGGTAGATTAGTTTAGAAAGGAACATGAAAAGAGAACATTTTCCAAGGCACTAATGGTTTTTTAGTATTATTAAAAATGCATTTTGGAATGAAGAGCTCATTCAGCAGGGCAATCTTGTAAACCCAAATTCCAGAAAGAGGTTAAACCAGCTTCCAAAGATGGTGCTATTTTTCTTTCAACTTCAGGGCCAGTTTAAAACACAATGGGTCTGTAAAAAAGGAGGGAGGAAGAATTCCTTCATTTGGAATTTTAATATGCACTGACCTAATTCTCGCTTTCTGAACCAAAATATGATTTTTTTTCATAATGTTGCACTTCTCTGAATTCTGCAACACAGTGCTCTGATCAGACTGCATATGCACTGGGGGACTACATTCAAAATACATACACTTAAAAGAATTTTTAAAAGAGCATATGTTAGGGAAAACTGGACATAAAGGTGCATAAGTGGAAATGTAACAGAAAAAAATGGATAACCTCTGGATCAGTTTGAGCAGAATCAGATCATTTTCTTAAAAGCTGAACTGAGGTCTGAGTGGTGGGTGTGACCCTCTCATAAAAGGTATTTCATGCATTGTTTAAAATCTGCTTTTCTATACAAGGATGTCATTTTCGAAGGACTACTTCTGACATTATCTGTATCTGAGGAGACATGAAAGAGTAACTGAAGAAGATAAACACCTATGCATACTTTTGAGAAACAGCATTTAGAGCTCAGCTTTCTTTACCTATGTGCCATAGGAAATATTACTTCTGCTGATCATTTCTTGCCCCTCCTCCTGCCTTCAGGCTTACATTGCTCCCTGATGCTCCTCATGACTACTTGGTGGTATCCCAGTGCTGTCTGGCATGTCTCCTCCTTAATCTTGCGCAGGTGTATGCACACAGCTGTTAATAAGGAAGCGTGCTGACTGGCCCTGGCAAGGGAGGGCGGTGGTGTCGAAAAACAGCAATTGGGAGCTGCACAGGAATGGTGCAGGTGACAATACGGGAACAGGTTTAACCTGATTTAGATGTGGCGTAAAAAGGTATTACCTCAGAAAGCTGGTCCTTAAGTCACAAATAATTTATTGGAAAAAGGCATGCACCTCACTCTTGACAAATGACGCCTACCTGCATCTGAAGGAATGAGTACATGCAGCCTTGTTTTAGAAGAACAGAGAGGGGTATGGTTGGGCTTCTGTTCTTGTTGAGAAAATAGTAATCATACGACACGCCTCGCTTATGAAAATAACTGATAAAAGCCAAGGTGATGGACACTAACTCAGGTGGTTTTTAAAAAGGATTAGGTAAATTCACAGATGGTATGCCTCATACTAGGAACAAAGACCAGGGGAAGAACTTCACCCTAATGACATACTTCTCAAGGTATTGGGAGATCTACCTGGCAGTGCATTAGCCTAGATCAGGGCTCGGCTGTAGGCCGATTTGGGTCTACTGGTGACTCGAGGCAGATCAGCAAGGTGTCCTGACTCCTGAGTAAATTCACAGTGGAGAAAAATAGCTTTGCAACAAAATGCAAGCCGTTCTGGTAACGTTCCTGGATTTAGAATGCTTCAGTTCTGAGTACAACAGGCAAATGTTGGTGAATTTCAAACTTCTGATTTAAAACAAAGCAGACGGCACAAGACTAAAGTATGCCTAGACCAGGGGTCCTCGAACTTTTTCATCAGGAGGCCAGTTGAAAGGTGCCAGTGCCGGACATGGGCTGGAAAGGTGGTGCCAGTGGGGCGCGTGGGCGCTGAGGCGGGGCGCTCTGGCGCAGCAAGGCGCGGGCGGGCACACGGCAGGGGGAGGCGAAGGAAGGCCGGGGCGGGCACGCACCATGACGCTTGCTCGCTTGCAGATCGTTTTCTCCAAGTGGGTCCAAAACGATCTCCTCACGGGCAAGTCGTTGCCTCCCCACACGGCGGGCAAGGTGGGCGGCAGCGGGCGTGCATGGTGCACCGGTACGCGCACGGCGCATTGAAAACCTCTGAGGTGGGCAGGATAAATGGCCGTAGTTTGAGGACCCATGGCCTAGACAATCCTTTGGCTGACAGGGCTCATGCCTTTTCCTCATATTAGCCAGACTATATCTGGGCTTCAACTGTATGCCTGATGCCTAAAAGATTTGGGTGAGTTGTTTGGCACTCATTTCCATCCAGTCCATAAACTGAATGCTGAGAATTGGCAAGTGTCTCAAGAACAGGGAAGCAACATGCACAGATAGGTGAAAAATCCCCTTGCTTATTAAAAGTATTTATAACCCATTTTTCTGCCCACACCACCCTCAATAGCAATACCATAAGATCACTTCACAAAATAAAAGCAGAAGTGGAATCTACTTTCAAAGGAATCAGCATGTAATACTGAATCCATTCCAGGCTTGGCAGAACAGTACCATTTCTGGAGACAACCTAATACTCAGTAAAGATGGAGCCCACCTAATAACCTGCAATCAACATGCTGCTACAGAAAGGAGACATTTAATGCACCCATCAACTTAGCATCTCCTGGCTGTGGGACTGTGAGAAAGACAGCAAATGATGGACAAGCCCATAATTGGTCTCCTAAGCATCTGCTCAAATGTTTCACCTGCAGCACTTATTGCTGTAATTGCAAAACATTACTTTTATGGTGTACAGGAGTATCGTGTGTTGTATATCTTTCTATAATGCTACTTGACTGGGGCTACAAAGTCAATCAAATTGTCTTAAAAGTACATTTAGGATAGTGTAATTGTTCTGAAAATGCACAGAAGTTCTCTCATTCCAAGGAATGTGTCTTTGGCACAAGCCATTTTTTGTCAAATGGCATGTTTAGTTTTGCAAGTAGCTTTGAAATTTTATTTAGCTGTAACTGTTTTTAGTTAAATGTGTTTATATATAATATGATTTTCTTAATAGGTTTCCTATATTCCTTTTATGCTATAAGTCACCTTGAAAAGACTATCTTCTTGAAGGGCAGCTAAGAAATGTAAAATAAATGAATGACTAAATATTCTCCAGGAACAAAGGCACTACAGCAAAAATAAGCCTATTTTAGCATGAGTCTGCCTGGTGGACAGTACTGTTAGCATTCAAGGAAAAGTGGACTGCGCTGGGGTCACTGGGGGAGGCCCGTGTGTTCACGTTCTCAAGGGACCCCAAGTCAGTGTCAGGGCTGAAAAGGTTGTTCACCCTTGAACAACCAGTGACAGTGAACTCCAATATTGATACTGAGTTCAAGTTATTTTGGGTCAGCAAGACCTTTTGGCTGACGTAAGGTAAGAATAATGTTCTGTGCACTACAGACTGTTTTCAGATTAGGGCAAATCGTGTTCTGAGCGAAGGTGCTGATAATAAAAAATAGGGACAAGAATTTGTTTTGGAGAGCATATTTATGGAATGTTCAACAGTTTACTATGATCAGCTTTCCCACTCTTCATCAGCAGCGTAATCAGTACAGATATGAAAGCCAGTAGGAGGTGATTCATACCACAAATATTTGACTCCATGGTCTAAATTACTGTAAGCCCTTATGCAAACAGCTCCATAACTCATTTTCGCTCCTACTGGAATACTAAATATAGAAGTGGAACAACCGATATGGAGTTGTGTGGGCTGGAAGTGTCTCAAAGATTGTCCAGTCTAAACTGCTGAGCAGAGGTGAGGGTAACCTTTCGTAAAATGGATACAGGACCTAGCTAGGACTCCTCTCCTATTATGGTAGGAAGCAGTCAGAGGAGCAGTTTTAGCAAGATTAATTCCCAAGAGCTTACTTCATCAGATAGCCAACTGCTATACAAACAAACGTTAAAGTATCTAAGATAGCAGTAATCCTACTTCGTCCATCTTAGACTATGCCTCTCTAGATGTAGAGAAAATTGCCAAAATTTGGTGTTGTGATGGGCCCAAGCTTGTTCAGGCTGATGCCATTTTAAGTCCTCCTGAATATAAGTGGAGTGACATCCTTTCCCGCTTTGAATACTATATTAACCCTCCACTTTTCATAGAAATTACTAAGAACATGGGAAGAGACATGCTGGGTCCAACCAAGAGTCCCGCTACTACAGCATTCTGTTCATATGGTGGCCAACCATCTGCCCAGTGGACCTGGAATGAAGTGGAATGAAAGAAATAGCCCAACTGGTGTACATTGGCATATGGTGCTGGAGGAGGCATGGATCCTTAATTGATTCAATCCCCCATTAATGCTGTCCAGACTGGCACCCATCACTTCCTTACATGGCTGTGGATTCCATTGTTTAACTATGCACAGTGCAAAAAAGTATGTCTTTTTATCTGTCCAGAATCTCCCACCGATCAGCTTTGCGAGATGATCCTGGTTCTTGTATTATGGGAGAAGAAGAACATCGTCTGTCTCTTCACTTTCTCCATGCCATACATCATTCTGTACACCTCTTTCATCTCTCTCCTTACTTGCCTGTTTTCTAAACTAAACCATCTCAGCTGTTGTAACCTGATAACTGACTGTAATTATTTCCAAGTGTGAATGAAGTAACTCAACTGTGTTAGTGAATAGTTGATGTGGTTTATAAATACAGTAAATGGAATGTGTGTTAAACTTGCTTCCTCTAGGCATTTGTGACCAAAAGCGTGAATGGCTTTTATAGAACATGATGGCTCCCTTCCAGCAGGCTGGTTATGCCCCCTGAGCAACATGTGATCACTCCAACGAGAAGGGAACGGACATGGGTATGGATACAGGCATGAAAGTTTCCCCCACAGGGATGGGAATCTTCATCAACTGGTCTTCCAGGATTCATGGAGACTTATGCATCCACTTAGTTGCATGAAGGCCTTCTTCAGATTGAGGTTTGTGGACAAGGCCTATGTTGATGTCTAGAAGCTACATGACTCATTCTAGGGAGCCCCTTTACCGTTCTGGTAGGCCATGAGCTCTTGAGTCTGGCCTAATTCGAAATGTAAGCCTCTGACTTAAAGTACTGGGTAGGGACCACTGAACATTAAGAAGGGCGTGCAGATAGTTGACGAGGTTTTCTTAGAAAACAAACCTTAAGCTGAGACCAGTCAGAATTTAAGGTGATGTCGAGAGGAGTATATCTTGTGTTTGTTTGCTCATGCATTCATTTTTGCACTTATACGCCAACTTTTCATTCTTCCTCCAGGGAACCCAAGGCAGCTTATATATACGCAACCATGTGGGGGGGTAGGCTGAGCTGTGAGGAGGTGACTGGCCCAAATTCACTCTCTGAGCTTCATGGCTGAAGCTCAGATCTGGGGACTAGAATCCAGATCTCCTGACTCCCAGCCCAACACTCCCACCACTACACCCAGCATGAGACTCTCTTAGCCCCAGTGTTCTGCCCAACTGGTGTTCCAGATGTGATAATTCCCATTCAACAATATCTTTTGAAAGAACCTACAAGTAGAAAGAAAATGGTTACTCACCTTCCTCCTTGCTTCTGCTCTCTGGAAGCTCTCATGCTGAATAAAGACAGTTGCAGCAAGGACTCGGGGGGAAGAGGCATTTTCTGTCTGCAATATATACACCGCACGCTCCAGAGTCATCTCCATTTCTGAATTCCTGGTTGATTAAATGTGCAAACTTAGTAAGCCTCTGGAGCACCACTGGAGCTCCATGGCTGCTCTTCAGCAGACCGTAAATAACTCTAAGCAGTGAAAGCCAAGGAGGCTCTTGTCACACCCCAAAGACTTTCAGATTCGCCGTGGCCTAAGCCTTTGTGTGGACCAGAGCCTGTTTTGCTAGAAGCATTGACTGTTACCGTCACTTGGCAGATAGACGTAAATACACAGGCACAGAGAAGACAACTGCAAACAGTGGGATTCAAAAGCCATGAAAAGCAAAAGATACACACAAGGTCTGTGACATTAAAGCTTAATTTGTACAGACAAAACAGTGTCCATTCACAGTCGCCATAACCAGTGACAACCATCTTTCTAGCTTTGCTTGATCACCATGTGTTGCCATAAATGGCACACCATGGGTTTGCCTGGACACAGCATGGCCTCGTACACCTTACTCCTACCTAAGGGTTGTACTACTTTCTGTCTTTAAGAGGCAAAATGCTGTAAAATATTCAAAATAACTCATATCAAAGTTATGGTGCAATTGTGGTGCTATCTCATGTTTTACTTCTGGCATTGCTGCCGGAAAAAAAGAAGGTAAAAGTTCGCCCCCGTGATTGCATGTCGTAATCACAAACACCAGAAGTCTCCCTTCCCAGGCATGGATGGTTGTGTCTTGTGCATTCAGCCAGTGTGAGGCTCCCACGAGGAACGCGTCTAAGAAGACGTGGTTCTTACACCTTTAGTATTCCAGCTGGCTGTTTTCTGGCAGGGCCAGCCTTACTCAGAATTGTTCCTCCTGCACCCCTTCTTAAGGCCAAACTGAACATTCAAGCAATCACATCTAGTGGAGCTTTGAGTGACAGTTGCCTTTACTTCTGTGTGTGCATGAGCAACCTTGATTTGGATCAGAACCGCCATGGTCTGGAAAAGGGCTGTTAAACATAGAAACAGAGCGAGTCAGAAGTGACATCTAGTCTGACCCCCCCCCCCTCGCTTCAGGTGGCTCTGCTCACAAACCTTCGCCCTGGCTGTTTTTCCTGAAATTTCCTGGGGGCTAGTGCTGGTAAAAAAAGAAAAAAAAAAGAAAAGAAAATTGCCTCTATTGACATTCTTTTCCACTGAGATGTTTTTATTTTTTTCATACCCTTCCCAGCCCTGCACCACCATGGGGAGAGTTTTAGGGAAAAGTTTGTGTGTGGTTTAGACTACCTGTCCCATGCCAGAAGCATCAAAGATCCCATTTAGAATAAGGACAGCACATGCTGATGTGATGATGAAGAAAATGATAAAGAAACCTCCACTATGCATGGTTATCTGGATGTTTAATACAGCTCTGCTCTTGCTTAATTAGCCTGTTGCCCTCAGCTGCATCGCAGGACTCCAATCCATCATCAAGTAAGATTCAGCTACCTCTTCGCTGCCATGCACTGAATGGGTGTGGGTGGGGGGCCACTTTGCCTCCAGGAACTGAACGTCCTAAGCCTGACCATCTGTGGCTAAGAAAGAAGAAAAGGATAATTTGTGCACTGAACTGAATGCTGAAAAACAGGACAGATGAACCAAATTCCAGATTTCCTTCTTCCTGAAACGCTAAGTTGCAGTGTAGCAGTTAGGAGATCTGGAGGCTAAGCCCACTCAGGCATGAAGCTCACTGGATAACCCTGGGCCAGTCACTGACTCTTAGTCTGGCCTACCTTGCATGCTTGTTGTTGTGAGGATCAAACAGAGCCATGTAAGCTGCCTTAGATTCCTCACAAGAAGAGGAATGGTGGGATAGGTTGCATTTCCCCCATTTGATTTGTGCCTCTGCACTGAATTCTTAAAAGGTGCAAACCTATGTAAGTTTTGAAAGAAAGAAGTGCACAGAACACAGCTTGTCCCCAAATGCACCTTAGCTGCAGTGACACAAACACCCCTGGATGTATAGCTGTAAGTATCCTAAGAGGGCTTCCTCTAGAATTGAAGTCACTTATATGAAGTTCAACTCAAATGCTTGTTTATTCATTATTTCTGCATTGCATCTCACTCTTTCTCCAGCACCTTCAGGATTAGAACATTTGGGATTTCTGTTTTTATCTTCACAACAACCCTGCAAGGTAGGGTAGGCTCTGTGGTGCACCTGTGGGTAGACCCTGGGTCCAAAGTCCAGGGAGAGCGCAAATTCTTTCAGCACACGGGTGATGAAGTTTCTAGGGCAGCAGACACAAACCCCATTTTATCTCTGTAGTCAAAACAGTGCTGTGATTGCAGTGAGTTTAAAAAGCAAACACACTCTGTAAATGCTCAGAGTAGTTCTATCATTATCACCATCAGTGTAGGCAAGCAGCTTTGTTATTACTGCTCAAACATCTCTGGAATGTAGTGCCAACTGCAAAAAATGGAATGGTGGTTGGAGGTCTGAAGAGAAATGTTTGTTTCTGCATGTTAATGTATGCTTCCCCATTCTAAAAGGTTTGTATACCTGTCCTACAGAATAATCACTGTATTATTTATACAGTTATATAAATGCTTTCAGCTCAAAGTTGCTGGTATTTTTGGCCCTTCTTCTTTTCCCTGTGGTCTTGTCTTCCATTGGAATGTAGCCCTTGAGAGCATTTCAAATGCTCAGTGGAGCCCATGGGCTGAAAGAGGTTCTCTAGGTGAGCAATAGCAATGGGTCCATGGTTCCCATAGCTCCAAGCGGGAGGTAACACTGACCACTGCACTGCCCAAGATCTCTTGTTTAACCAGCTCCTAAAGATCTTCGGTACAATGAAGGTGCTTCCACCACCTTGGCTAGCTCACCTTTTCTGGCTTTGAATGTCCACTCTAATGTCCTTTATCTCTTTTCTTGTCTGTGGTAGAAAAGAGAAACTGATCTCAAAGCAAGGCTGTCACACAGTGGAAAAAAAGCTTCCCCAAATTAGTTTTAATTTTAATTGATCAATTAAAAGTACAATCCTACATGCGTTCAGACAGGAAGAAGTCCTACAACCTCCAGCTTTCTGAAGGATGAATGGGGAATGCAGTGAATTGCAGGAGTCTGTTCATGTATACTGAGTCTGCAGTATACATGAACAATTGTTCTGAAGGAAGTGGCATTAGATCTTTGTTTTTCAATGAGGAGCTAGATGAGGCACTGCTTTCTTTAAAACCCAAGAGGGAAAATGCCTCTTCTTGTTCTAAAAATTTGTTTTAGCAACTTGTGTTTACAAGTAAAAAGCATTTAGGAAAAGAAATAGACTCCCAGATTAAGTTGAGCCCATAAAGTATTTCAAGGTTTGTTTCATTTAATTGATCAGTGATCAAAACATTGCAGCCCTACTAATTATGCCCCTGCTCTGCCTTTTTAACCCCTTCAGGTTTTCCCAGGTGCTCAGGTGGAAAAGCAAGAGTCCTTCTTTCAGACACGCAAAGGCTTTTGACCTCTCTCCATTTTCTCCACTGCTTCCTGCATGGAGGCAAGCAGAAGGTCTGGATGTTGGCTGCCCCTATTGGCACTGTGCCATCTGGAATCTACCCAGCTTCAGCAAACATTGCAATCACCTGGAGAATTCAGCTGTTCTGTTCAATCCAGTTGATTCCCTAGCCAGAAGCAGTTCACTGTACAGCACTTGTGTTGCCCTGATTATCAGGAATGACACTCTTTCTGTCCTCTGGACATCATATTTCTCAACAGCTGCAAACTTAATTCCTTGCTACCCCAGATCATGCAGTTACACTCAGTGGAAGGGAGCAGGAATTCTAAAAATGAACAAACTGAAAATACATTGTGAAAACAATATATTCAGTGAATAGAAATTAAAAGGAAACTTTGGAATTTAGAGAGAAAGTATACTCTGGCAGCACAATTCTAGGCCTATTTACTCAGCAGTAACTCTTCCTTTTGCTCTACCAACCTAAAAGTTCCTCCTCCATTCATTATCTACCCATAAAACCCTTCCTATCACCTGCAATCACTAAATAAAGCTTCCACATGCAAATTCAGGCAGGTTTGCAAAAACAACGCTGCGCATATTTCTTTCCATAGTTATGCTGCATGGAAATCCTACCCTTTCTATGGAAGTGCATGCTAAGATTATTGATTAAAACGATCAATCAGCCAAATTAAATTATCACCCCAAAATGTATTTTTGAATTTTTCTTCTAGCCCGCCTGCCTGCCTGCCTATCTATCTCTATCTTTGCTTTTATGGTGTGGTGGCAACCGCTACCACAGATTGCTTTGAAAAAGATTTGGCCAAATCCATAGGAAGGAGTCACAGGATGCTGGAATAAAAATGGACTGGACAGAATAAAATATTGCAGAATGCACAGCCCTGTTTTAAGCTCGTGCTCCATCACTACGAGGGGCACATGACAACCAGCAGCATGTTCTTACACACTGAGTGTAACCGAGTGCAGTGAACAACGTACCCATGGCGAAATCCAGTGGTGGCTATCTTTTCTTGCTCAGCGAACGCGCTCCCTGCTGCAGCTGCCATCGCGGCTGTCATTGTCCCCTTCCCGCCTCCCTCTGCCGTAGCGCTGCTGATCGACGCTAGCTGAGAGGCTTCCCTCGTGTCCTGCGACCGGAAGGTGGACTGATGCCAGCTTGACCTCAGAGCCTCCCTGTGCATCTGGCCCAAGGCCGCTCCAGAAGTCAGGTAACTCTCTCTCTCCAGAAGGTTGACCATGCTCCGACTGCTCCTAGGACGCTGATAGACTGGCGCTCCTGGGCTGGTGGGGATGCCGTCCACGGCAGTGCCGTTGGCAGCCCCAATGTAGAACTGCCTCTGAACCCGTTGCCCTTGACTTGCAGCGCTGCGGTTTCTGGAGCTGACGATCTCGGAGCGTGCGTATCTTGGGGGCATGTCACTGGATCTCTTGCTCTCGCCGTAGCGCAAATTTAGCCCCCTGTTGTACTGGAAGCCGTTCTGGAAGTAAGCCAGCTTGTCCGGACTGCCATTAGGTGAAACCTCCAGTCTCTTCAAGGGCTGCCTTTGAGATTTCTCTTCCATCACCCTGTAGTGGTTGTATGGCAGAGTCCGAAGACCCCAGCCATTTTCATAGCTGGTATGGGAGCCTGTTTGCTGCACGTACAAACAAAAGAAACACGGAGAACACTGTGATAGGGCAGTGATGTGGGGCGGAACATTTCCCACTGCTACAGGCTTCTGTGGGCAATGTTCAACTTTTTTTGAAATGAATTTATTAAAATAAAATTAATCAACAGCGTAACGGATGGATGCAATAAGAAGCAAACTGAGGGGCTAGAATGCAATATAGCGGGATCTAAAATCAACTGTAATTCACTTTTGTCTAGTGATTAATCCAAGAAAGCACACATTTCTATGTGGACAGCTCTTCAGACATGCTAAAATCAAAATGTTAAGAGTTTTCATGATATTTCATTATAATATTTCACTGCACATACTATATAGCGCATAATACCGGAAAGAGTTCTGCTTCCTTAGGGCATGCTCTAGTGGCCTTCTCAGGTTGTGTGGAAGGCTGCAGGGTCATTCAGAGTCCCAGCTCTGAGAACCTGCAGTCTTGGGGTTGAGTCTCTGAAGGCTGAGCCCCTGTCTCACCTCAGCATGGAGAGACACATGCCAGCTGCCTCCTCGAGGTTGAATGGCCCCCACAGGGACAAAAGAAGGGTGCTCCTGGGAGGAAGGTGGGACTGAGGACTTGGACTTAGGCTAACCCCTACGGGCATCCCGGCCTCCTCCTCTTCCTCTCACCAGTGCTTTATCTGGACTGCCAAAAACCTCTGGCTAAAAGGCAAGGTGTGGGATGAGGTGGCCATGGAGTGGGACAGAAGATGCCTATAATCCCCCAGATGTAGAGTCTTATGTCCATCAGTGGTTAGGGCACTCCCCATTTCAAACATTCTAGGCCAGATCACCATCCATTTTGAGCAGCATAATATGTTCCAGAAAACCCATTATCACTGTGATGAGGTGCATGTTTGAATAATCTTCTACTTCCAGACAAAAATACATAACTAGAACAGAATACAAATTAAGAAAACCTATTGCAAAAACAGCTGGAAGTCTTGAATTCCCTTTAATTAAGATAAATAGCTAAGGGCCTCATGGGGAAGCAACCTTCATCATCTTAAGGGCCACTGGAGAAAAGGCTTTGTTCTCACACCCAATGACACTCATTTCCTTTTGTGAAAAAGTCCTCTTCTTCCTGAGAGTTTTGATAGACTAAGGAGGTGATCTCTGGGGAGAGAGATAAGGGGCTCAGACTGGGCCTGGAAGCTCAAGAGGAGCACAGCTGACACAACACCAGACAAACATGTTCCGATCTCCTCAAGGCAGGCAGCACCTCGGACAATTTTCAAGGGCAGCTCTGCAAAGAGCACCAGTCGAAATGGTTTGTATGTCTGCTTGCACTTGCTGCAGGCATCTCTTAGGCATTCCAGCACCCTGAACAGGAGCGACAAGTTTATGGAGCCTGTGCGTACCATGTCCTGCCCCATGGCTATCACTGTGTTAACTAGTTCCTGGGATTTGAGTTGTGTTTTCATTTTATTATCGCAGGCATCCTGTGAGGAAGGTTAGGATGAGAGAGACGATTTCACCTGGCCAAGATTATCCAGTGAATTCCATGGGTGGGTGGGGAACCGAAGTCCAAAACTCCACCTGCTAAGTACACTGCCCAACCTAGCAGTTTCCTCTTTCCTGCGTTGACCAACTCTCTCCGGGTTGCCAGCCCCTGGCACAGGTATCCCATCTGGCCAACAGATGGGCCGTGATGTGATTAGTTAGTGAAAGTTCTTCTTGTGTGGTCAGGTTACCCACTTTTCAAAACACCACCCCAGTTGCCAGGGTATTTCAATTGCTTTAAGCTAGCTTGGTATTTCCTCATAGGCTTGTATTACTTTCCCATTCCCCCGTCTTTCCAGAGTAGCTACTTATTGTTGAAACCAAGCATGAAAGCTACATGAAGTTGTCTTCAGTTCTGGAGTATGGGAACACTCAGAGCTCTGTTAGGCAGGTGCAATTGAGAGCGGAGAAAGGAAGAAGGCAAAGCAAGTAATTAGATAAATTCAGACGCTGTAATTAAAAGCTGGGGCGTACTTAACCTAATCCAAACAAGATGGCTTCAGACTGCAGGCTCTATAATGTGTCTGACAAATACAAACAGAGACAATTCCTCTTGGCTCATATACAATCAAAAGCTCTAGCGTCTGAAAGGAGGATTAGGTTCTTTCCTCTTGGTACAGATGTTGCATGTAAGAGTAGCTAGCTCTTTTAAACATTCGTTTCTGCTCCAAAGTGGGGAGGCAGGGCAGTGGTTCCTTTTTCACTTTTCTTTCAAAAGACATGTTCCTGGCTAGGGCATACTGGGGGTTGCAGGCCCTTTTTCTGTCTAAACTTGCATAGGATTACACTGCAAGTCTGTATCCAACCCAAGGAATCCTCTTCATTTACTTTGATTACTTTGGTTTATGGGATCCTAATAACAGTAAAAGGCACACGTGGCTTTTAAACTTAAACCTCACGCAGCAGGTGTTCTTAGAACTGAAAACTAAAGCTAACAAAATATAACCTCGCTATTACTTGTTGCAGCAAAGCACTTCTGAAGGCGCTCATGTGCCAAATGTTTGTCTCAGGAGCGCTTCCAGTAGAGCATTTTAAGCTCCAGCACCCACTTTCTGAAGCACTTTACCAGTTGACCTTAGAGAGGCTTCCATCCTTCTGATTTTCAGATGCCTTGTCAAAACTCACTTTGCACTGGCTTTCCCTGAAGGGTGACCCAGGCAGCTGTGCTTTGTCCCAGGCGGCAGAGAGTGCTGTGCTCTTGCAGGTTCGTTTTAAGAAGAGCGGGCTGCACCAGGCCAGAGGTCCATCTCATCCTGCTTTCTGTTCACATGGTGGCCAACCAGCTGCCCACAGAGCACCTCAAGCAGGATATGAGCACGGCATCACCCCCTGCCCAGTTTCCCAGAAGCAGGTGTATGCAGGGATTCTGCCTCTGATCCTGGAGGGAGCAGTGGTGGAGACATCAGGATAAGCAGCCACTCACAGCCTTCCCTTGCATTAATTTTTCCCATTCCCGTTTGAAGGCCATCCAAATTGGTAGTCTTCACTACATCTCATGGAAGCGAAATCCCACGTGTAACTATGCACTGAGTAATTTGTACTGTGCGTTTTTTGTTGTTGTTTTGATACTATTGTATTTTGTGTTCACTGTTTGGATACTGAAAGCAGGCTACGCATTTGAATAATAAATAAATAAAAGTAATACATCCAAATTCACATATACATCCTTTTCCATGGATGGACAGCCATAATCTAATGTGTTTATGCATGCATGTATGTGTATTCCATCAATATTCCTCACCTGATGAGAGCTGTAAGATGCACTTACAAGAAAAGGTCTTGATGCAAAGTCTGTTTCGACTGCATCTAATTTATACACGTATTCTGGAACACTGGAGGTCCGATGGAGACTTCCTGTAGAAAGGCATGAAAAACAAATTTACTGCACACCACATATGCTAATTTAACTATCATTAAACTTGGCAGTTCAGAGCCAGAGTTTAGCACCAGGGCTTGAGCTGATGTCTAACAGACATGCCCTTTGATCAGTAATTATGTTGCACAATGACCCAAACTGTGCTTGTTTACAATTCACCATTCACGCATGCTCACTTTCCCTTGGTCATTCAGGCCCAAATCCAGGTGCAGAAGAAGGAGTCCCTAAGACTAGCAAAGTTGATTCGTCATGCCTTGCCTTGCCTTATGACACATCTGACCCCAGTGCTCGAGGGAACCCAAGGTTGCAGGAATGCCTTGAGGGGAGGGAACTTAAGAGCCATCCCATGCTCCAAAGCAGCCCACCCAATTTTCTTTCTTTTAAACTGCTGATGCTAAGGATGAAGCACATGTGTTCTATCAAAGAACTTTAAATGTTTTGTCCTTGCTAAGCCTCACACAACCATGCAGTGTGGATGAGGCTGGGAGAGGATTTCCTATCTGGTGAACTTCTAATTTAATATCAAGTGTCTCTATTCATGTGGTACTCTTCATTATTCACAATTGAATCCAGTTCTAAGTCTAGCTTAAGTTCCATTCACTTTGGTAGGTTTACCCTAGAAAGAATAGATCCATTGAAAGGAATGGGATGTAACTTAAACTAACACTGGATGCAATCCTGTATTGCATTTCAGACTTTGCACAGGTATTACACCTTTCAGGAAACTTCAGTTTAGCACTGACATGCCCAAGCTGTAGGAAATGTATGGTTACCTCTGAAATGGTGAGTATATTTCAAGAAGAGCACACTGAGTCCTAAAGGGCTTACCACCCTTGCGATAGCTGAAGAAGTTCACTTCCTCTACTTGGGTCAGAAGGTTTAAGAATTTAGTCAGAATTTAAACCAGAGGGATAGTGCAATTTTTAAAAAGGGAAGCAAGCTGCAGCCACACACAAGGCACTTCATGTGAGTAAGAAATGCCAAGGCCTGCTTCATGGTGTGAATTCTTGAACTTACAAACAAGTACAAATTGAATGCTGAGAAGCAGAAGGTTCACCAAGAGAACTGGGTCTCTCCTGGTGAACGAAACAAATATGGGCGTGGTTGTTTTATGTTACATTAATGGGGTCAGTAATAATAAAAGCAGGAAAGTGGTTAACAAGCTACACCACTGCATATCTCGGAGATTACCAACAGACTTTTCATCAAGATAGTTTGTTAAGAGTAGGCAAGACAACACTTGCCCCGGGGAATCTATTAAGTGCAGAAATTTTTCAGGCATGAGTACAGCAAACCATTCTTGAGCTGTTGGGGCAACTGCAGCCATCTATCTGTCCATCTGCTGCTCATCCTTTCTTGGTCACTTCCGCTGCTTTCCTAGCAGTACCCCACATCTCACAGTTTGGAATCTTGCAGTTAGGATCCAGAGCAAACAGGACTTCCACAATCTTCCCACCAGGAAGAGGCAGCCAGACTGCTTTAAAGGCTATCAGCAATTCTGCAGACTAGAGGAGACATCTGGCAGGAGCCGGGGTTATTAAAACTCCCTATCCATACCTGAAAGTTTCAGTAATCCTACAGAGAATGGGAGAGGGGGAGACCACATAGTATCTCCAAGGTCCCTGGAAGGTTAGGTTATTTGAGCTGTTGCTGTCTTGTCTCCTTGGTTACAATCTGATTTGTCCTAGGGTTCTTTTTTTAATTTTCCCAGTCTGTGTGTCTCACCATACGGTCTGCAGAAAATCAAGTCTGTTGATTAAAATGGATTATTTATCTATGTGCAAGGATGACTGTGGAACCCTTTGAGATTGCAAACACTGCCAGCAATTGCTCTAAATCAGAAGTCGGAACTGGGGAATTTCCAGGTATTTTGGCTTTACTATCAGCTGTGTTGGCAAAGGCTGATGGGAGCTGTAAGCCGAAACATCCAGAGGATGACAAATTGCTCACTACTGCAGATGGTCTTTGATATAAAAAGTTATTTGGTCAACATATTTGGACAGCCATTCTCTATCTGCTGCCCTCTAGATGTTCTGGACTACAGCCACCATTAGTCCCAGCTACCATGGCCAGTGGCTGAGGAGGACAAGAGATGTCCAAAACATCTGGAGGCCAACAGGATCAGGAAGTCTGTCTTGAGGCAAGACCAAAATATTGCAGTGCCTTCCTCACTGGACATTCTGGAAGCTGGAAATGCACATTTCAGGGTAACTGGCAAGCCATTCAGCGGCCTGCGAAGCAATGCATGCTGAAGACACAGCTGCAAGCACCAACAAGCAGCAGCTGAGGAAGACTCATGGCTCTCAGCGCATGAGAGGGCTTGTCTCACGGGCTCCAGGGTTGGCCAGCCAGATACGTCTACTCACAGGTCTCTAATGACCTGTGTATGCAGCTGATATCACTGGTCCAACAGCAATGCGGGAAAACAAGCAACACTCTGGTGCCCAAATGGTGCTCCCACTCCTCCTTGACTTCCCACTCCTAGCTGGTGTTTGGTATGGTGGAGTGTTGTATACAAGCATCAAGACTCCATGCTTATGATTCAGTTGAGGCTCCTGGGCTGTTGGACAAGACACTGCCATTGGCACCAGCTGTGCTGCCTCCTTCTCATTCCCTGGGGTCACCTCCTCCTCCTGCTCCTTGGAATATCTTTTGGGCAGGTGCAGGCCAGCAAGCCAGGTGCAGCCGTGAGGAGGAGGAGGAGCAACTCCAGGGGGCCCTTGCTGGAAGTCGGCCCTCAGCAGGTGCCCAGCCATGCCTGACCTTGATGCTGACCCTGAGGTTCTCGTGCTCTGCGACTGCAGCAGTGAACTGGCCAAAAGGCAGGGTGATAAGTAAGGCCTGGTGACAGGCATTGGGTCGTGCGCACTTAGGCTTGCCATTCCTTAGGCCAGGCAGATTGGCACAGGACACTGTCGAAGCAAGTATGCTCTCTTCACTTCTGCAGCAGCGCCTTTGCCCCGGGCCCCATGCTTTGCATAATACACGAGGAGGAGGATCAGGGAAATCTGGAGTGCCCATATAAACTCTGTGGCATATGTAAAACCAAGCAAGGCCTGCCCTTGGGACTTACTACCTGAAGCCGACACCAAATGGAAGAAGGCTGGAGGAGTAAGGTAGACACATGAGATCAGAGAGAAGAGAACGGGGCACATGAATCACTGCATCGCCGCTTATCCAGTTATTTCACAAGCGTCCATGATTAGCAAGAGAAAAGGTCTGCCCATGACAGACACAATATTGCAGTCTGCTGTGATGGCATTTGTGCTACTTCCAGCATCAGATTAGAAAGTGATAATCCTTAAGAATGGTTTTGCAGATGATCACTTATTAACTGAGCTTTCAATTTAAGGTTATGCAGATTAGGGCTTAAAGCATTCAACTTCTTAATCAGAACCTTATCTCTTACTGAAATAAAATCAAGGCTATTCCCTGGAACCAGCCATCTTATGAAGACAGCTCAACAGCCCCATCGCTTCTTAGCCTCTGAAAAGCAGGCTGATAATACCCCCTGGGCTTCAATATTTTTATTATCTAGAAAAATTCTACCTCACTTTTTGGGCCCCACTTCTGCGCACGCACACACACACCCACAATAACAAAATAAACACAGTAAATTGAGCATCAGAGCAGCGGGAGATGAAGCTCGCAGAGTAACTTTGGTGAGGATAAAATGGACTAGAGGAGGACTGTGCGAGGCATCTTGGGTTCCTTGCAAGAGGGAAACAGGTGGGAGAGAAAAGTAATTATGTACTCATATATCTTGATCAAATAAACAAACCAGCAGTACGAGCAGAGCCTAAAACAACTAGGTCAGTGTCAAAACGCACGAGCTCAGCAGGACAATAGAACAAAAGAGCACAATGGAATACAAACGTTTTTGACAACCGCCTAAAACTCAGCAAAGTATTTCCCCAGTTGAAATACTTTGGGGAGAGAACTCCCCTGGGTGCTGCACCTTCGAAGGCCTGCTCTCCTGTCCCCACCAAGCACACCTTCAGACATGGCAGAAAGAAGGCAGGGGCTCAGATGCCGAATACAGTGTGCAAACAGGCTTATAAGGTGTTCCTCCAGATAGGCTGGTCCCCGCCTGTTTAGGGCTCTATGGGTCGTGAGCGGCACTTTGCACTGTGTCCAAAAATAAGCCAGAAGCAAAGGGGGCCTGCTGGTGCAATGCATTCTCAAAAGTGAATGCTGGAAATCAGCCTGGCATTTTGACTTCATGAAAGAGCCGCAGGACACTTCCGGCGGTGGCGGTGCTGTGGGATGTGGTTCTTCCATGCCGTGCTCTGGCTTGGATGGTGGGGCGGGTTGGAAGGTTCTCTGCTGCACTCCAGAAGGAGGAACAAAGCACACGTGCTGAGCAGGAGCAGGTAGCTAACGGAGCTGTAGAGGCGATTCCAGCGCGAGAGAGGAGGAGCGGGCAAGACCTCTGGGAGACCGCACTGCTGCTTCTGCGCTCCGGCTCAGACTGCTGTGTTTGTTCCTCCTGTAAGACATGCTTAATACAGTTGCTTTTGTGCACCAAAAATTTCCAGTGCATGCCAAACGAGAGTAGTTCTTTCAAGCTACCCTGTACCTTGTGTGGTTTGGGCAAGATTGGTGCAAAGTTGTGAAGTCGGACCAAACTTTGAAATGCGGACAAGTTGAGAGAGCAGCAGGACTTGGGCCTAGAGAGCTCACTGGTAGCGCCCACTGACTCCCAGGAATGTTGCAAAGACTACAATGTTGTTCTGAATTCTATCTAGGAAATTCTATCTCTTCCTATCACCCTCTCTATTAAGAAAACTAAGATCATGGCATCCGGTCCTCTCACTTTCTGGCAAACAGATGAGGAAGAAATAGAGGTAGTGACAGATTTTATTTTCCTGAGCTCCAAGATCACTGCAGATGGGGACTGCAGCCAAGAAATTAAAAGATGCTTGCTCCTGGGCAGGAAAGCTATGGCAAATCTAGATAACATACTAAAAAGCAGAGA